AGGGTGCAATTCAACGTGCCTAAATAAGCAGTTTCATCTTATAAATACTAAACAGGAAGTTTATTGCGGTTACCATCAATGTACAGAAGATTAAACAGAAAGTCCACAAACTTTTGCAACAAAATATTGATCTTTTTTTTGTCAACCCTTCAAAAACTAATAGATCAATAAATGGACGTCTAGATAGGTTTATTTCTATTTAATGTATAATATTTGAACTTGAATACCTAAGTTTCATAGTCTGTTATGACAGGACAGAATAAATATGGCTGTCCACAAACTTTTGCAACAGGGTGTATACGTATTTAAGAAAACACAACAATCATTTATGCATACAGCTGAAATGTATACGAAACTACTGAGTCTGGATTTACAGACCACTGACCTGAAGATTATTGTCAACAACTACAACTCAAGGGAAAAGAAAATGAAGCTTGGAGCATTTCTAATTGAAAACAAGGACAAAATATGTGAAATCTTCAAATGGACTAATTCGCATGAAATACGGATTTTAGTCTTGAAAATAATATGCAAGACACTTTCAAAGAAGCAGATTACGCAGACATCCTTCTTCAGGGCAATGACGAAGAAGGCAATTGAAATGGGCTTTCCTGGATTCCTGATTCATTTCAACTTTCTTTTCAACCACAAAATCACCTGTGCACAGTTTACACAGTTGATTTGTGTAGAGAAAAATGTAGACCTTACAAAAGGTGCAGTATTCATGGATACAGATTCCATGAAATTCTATGCTGGCAATAACACGGTGATTCTTTACAATTCATCAATTATTGAAATTGCTGTTTCAAAGAAATCACTTGAAATACTGGCAAAGGCAGACAAAACAGTTACAGTCACACTTGATGATAGTGAACAATCTATGGTTTTTATCGCAGAAACCTGTAAAGTGTACAAGGGCAAAACAACCAAGAACATTAATGAACTTGATGATGTTAATGGAATTCTCCAGGGTAGCACTAACACACAAGAAAATGAGTCTGTTGAATTGAAGCAGTTACAAAGCATCCTACAATCACAGAGAATTATGAAATGCACATTTGATTTGGAAAAGAATGAGGAAGTGATCATTCCAAATTCACAGATAATTGAACAAAGGCCTGTGAATGAAGCACAGCAAGAATTATTGAATATGCAAGTGCCTGTTGTTCCTGATGCGCAGGAACCTGAATTTGTTAACAGCAGTGAACCAAATGATTTGCCTGAAAATAAGACGAATGCAAATAGTTCAAAAAAGATGATTGAAAATGATGTAAATGATGACAGCTCTTTATCGATAGATGAATTCAAAAATCACAGAAGAACAAAACGACGCACAAAAAGACTAAGAAACCTGAAATCAAAACAGAAGAAAACTAAGATCACATGCATTGGATCAAATGTGGTTGATGATATCAATGAGTGGTTTGATTTGTACATGAAATTGAACAAAAACAATTTTAAGAAACTGCTCAGAATTGCCAAGAAAAGAAAGAAGGAAATGCTCAGTCTAGCAAGAACAAAAATTAGGCAGTAAACTAATTTGCCTATCATCACCCCTAAAATGCTGTTTAGTCCACGTGTTTTACAGCTGCTCTATCAATTCAAAGAAGGAGATGACAATTTACCAGGTGAAGACTTGTTGGCTGATTTATTGGACAACAAGACAACAATCAACATGAAGTTACTCTACAAAGTGTTGTACAGTTTCAAGAAACTAAACCTGCGACTGACAGTTGATGAACTGAATGAAGCTGGAATCAAACTCAGCAAGTTGAAGAAAAACACTTCGATAGTTGAACAGTTTGCAAATGAAATGGAAGAAAATGAAAATTTTAAACAGGTATCAGTAATTGAAGGGGATAGAGAACACAGGCTGTATATTTCCAGTGATGAAATAGAGAAACTCTACATTAGAAAACTAGAAAAGTTGATTCTAGTCAATTTCGTAAGAAGAAAGACAAAAATAGATGATAAAATGGTAGATGTATGCTACTGCAAGAAGAGTAAAACAGGAAACATCGCATACAAACCAACTGAATTCGGATACAAAAACAAAGTTGATTTTATTTCAAAATTACCTGAGGAAAATGAAGTTGGTGGAGCTGATTTACCAAATGAACAAGATATCAATATCACAGAATCAATGATAGGGAAGGTGGCATCAAGTAATACAACTATTAAGGTGATGATAAAACAGAAGAAACAACAAATCAAACTGAATACTGCTGAAGACAGAGAATTGATCAGGAAGAGAAAACAGGAGGAAAAAGAAGAACTAAAGCGAATAAAACAAGAAGCACTAGAAGCAAAAAGGGAACAAGTGAGAAAAATGAAAGAAGAAAGAGAAGCTAAAAGAAGAGAGTTTTATGAAAATAAGGAAAAGGCTAAGGTAGAGAAAAAGCAGAACAAATCAAAATCAGGTATTAAATTGGACAGTTTCATTCGTGAAATTGAAAAAGAGGAATCCAACACAGATGAAAGTGTGGTATCTGTTAAGTTTGAGAATAAGGATTACACGCCTAACAACTACACGTATGTCTACAACAAGAATAACCTGATCAAAAAGACACTCAGAATCAATAACAAAGCCAAAAACCCAATAACCTACCAGTACATCGAATTTCCATACGTTGATGGAAAAAGAAGACCACTTATCAAACCGAGACAGGAAAACTACAGATATTTCATAAGAGAGACTGCTGAATCAATCAACTATTCCTGGGTAGTTGATTCAACTCAACGTATCCCTGAAGTAATGGATTATGATGAAGAATCCATCATATCAGAAGAATCAACAACAACAATCAAAACAGAAGAAGAACTCTCTCTTGGTGATGAACCAAATGCACTATTTGATGACAAAATGTTTGTCAATGATTCTAATGAGGCGGAAGAAATCACTGCGGTAGTAAAGAACTGGAATCAACCTGAATTCAAATCAGAGGTTGTTAAAATCACCAAATTATGAGGTTTGAAATCAGAGTAGATTTACTGGTAGTCTGTAACATCACATAAAGATGAGACAAGAATCCACATGGATTTCCATTGGCTGTTCTAACAAATAATGCAATTTTTACAACCCATAAATGTTCAACTTTTTTGGTGGACTTTACAGGAAGTTAAAGAACAGCATATATAGGGATCAGTATAAGAAGGCATACGGTGACATTATTTATAGACTGAGGAAAACAACACCACTTACGTTACAGGATATTGAAAACATCCAGAATGCGATGTATACTCTACATGGTGAAAGAGACTATGTAAGACGGAAATTCAGGCAACTAAAGAATGCGATTGAATACAGACAGAAAGTTGGTGATACGAAAATGATTAAGAATGATGTGAGTTACGTGGTGAATGGTGAATTAACAAGGGGAGAGGTTGATTCAGCAGAAGAAGAGATGTATTTCACTAAAAGAAATACAGAGAATAAGACAGGTTGTATAGAACCAAAACACGATAAATCCAAGTGCATAAAATGTTTAGAGAAACAAATTCGAGTTGAATTGCAGAGAAAGATGGAATTGGAGAACAGGGCACAGCAGGAGAACAAGGTGAAACGAATGAAGAAAGCCAAGGCAAGAAATATAAACAGATTTACAACATTGAATGAGAAATTGGGGTTGCCTACCATAATAGGAAAAGCAGTAGGAGATGAATATTTTGATATGGATGATCTGGATAGTGATGAAAAGTTAGCATATGAAGAATGGAACAAAAACAAGAATAAGACACGTGTAGAAGAACCTAAAAAGGAAGAAATTACGAATCCGTTTGGGGAGATCAAGGCATCGGAATCATTTGGTGCTGATTTAAGCAGAAATGCTGCTTTTGGTAATACAAATAGTAAGGTGACAGAACACAAAGAACCAAAGTTATTGGACAAGGACAAAGGTGCTAGCTCATCATTCAATGGATTTACTAAAACAACCAAGCCAACAATGTTAGGTGAATTAGGCAGCTCAAACAATACATTGACATCAAATGATTTTGGTGGAACCAATAATCCATTCTCATTAACATCAGGTAGTTTTGGTAAAGCTGATAAATCAACAACAAAGTCAACAACAGGTGGTTTCAATAACAAAAATCCATTTGGTAATCCAATGCTAGCAGATGAAAACAATTCCATACAAACAACGGTGTCTGAGAAACCAAAAGAATCCAACACCAACACTACAGAAAAGAGCGAACTGAAAAACAATCCATTTGGAAATCAACAATCAAGTGCTACCACAAGTAACAAGTTTACGTTAGTTGATGATGAAAAGAAGAGTGAAACAGAACCAAATAAAACAGAAAGCATATTCAACAATAAGACAGTTGAATCAGGCACTGATAAAAACGGCATTTTTGGATTCATGAAATCGGATAACAAGTCAACGAGCAACACTCCTGGATTTGGTGCAGCAACCACAAATCCATTTAATTCAACAACCACAAATCCATTTAATTCAACAAGTAACGAGCTACCTGAAAAAAGCACCAGTCTGTTTGACACCACTGATAAAAACACATTTGGATTTAGTTCCCAACCAACTAAAAGAAAAGTGACTGAAATTAATCCACCTACCAACTTCAGTAACCAGAATCCATTTCAACAAAGTGAGACCGCAACCAACAAAACACCCCAATCATCCCAAAATGCCCTAGTTAATAACCCATTTGACATCAACAACATGCAACCAGCACCAGAGAATGCGCCTAGCAGTTTCATTGGCTTTGGTGAGAACAACCCGTTTATGAATCCAAAGGACACGGACGACACGAGCAATGCGTCATTTACAGGCAGAAAACGTGCCAGAAGGAGAAAATAATTTGTTAAGAGCATCTTGTAGAGTGAAAGGTTTATTCATAAGGATAGGGTCTCTTAGTAACCTAAAATATAGGCACTTCTCAACATAATTAATAACAGAGACAGGTGACATTTTGATTTTTACTGCCCTGTTTCCAATGAGTCAAACAAAGCAAATGAAGCAGCAACCCAAATCAGCCGTCCTGATATCCCTGTTCAAATTGCACCTGATAATTTTTGTGCTATTTTTTATCCCATTCATGAATGAAGTCAAACAAGTCATCACGAGCAAGGTTGATAAAAATGACTACGAACTGGTTGAGTTAGAGAATGGCACCAGGGTAGTTCTAGTAAGCAACAGTGAGTTTGATACGGCAGCATGTGCAGTCTCAATGGGAGTTGGAACATTCAACAACCCTAAAGAGATTCCTGGCCTATCCCACTTCCTGGAACACATGTTATTTATGGGAAGCAAGAAGTATCCAAGTGAAAACTATTTCATGGAATTGGTCAGCAAGTTTGGAGGATACACCAACGCGTATACGGCATCAGAAATAACATGCTACTACAGCAGCATCCACAAGGATGAGTTGAACAAGCTGATTGATGCATTGGCTGGATTCTTCATAGATCCATTGATGAAGGAAGATGGTGTTGGAAGAGAACTAAATGCAGTTCATAGCGAGTACACCAATGGAATCAGCAGCCAAAGTAGACGAGAATACGAGTTGAAGAAGCAGTTCATGCTTGATACATCAAGTTTGAAGAAGTTTGGTTGTGGAAACTTAAGCACCCTCAAAATTGATCATATCAGGGAAAAGGTTGTTGATTTCTACCATAAGAACTATTCCAGTGAGAAATGCGTGGTTGTAGTCTGTGGAGTGGAACCACTTGGAAAACTAAGAGAAATGGTGCAGATATTTGGGAAAGTGAAATCAAATAACCAGAAGAATGATAAAACTAAGGCAATCAACCAAAACATCAAAACAAGGCAGGTTTTCCAGGATGAGTATCTTGGTAAGGTAATACGATGCAAATCACTAAACAAGAGACAAAGTTTATCAGTTGAAATAATGATTGATCCAACGAAACAATTCTATAAGGAGAACCCAATTGGATACATTGCTCATCTATTTGAAAGCAAGGAAAAAGGGTGTCTGTTGAATAAGTTGCAAAACAGTGGATTTGGATACGATGTGAGCATGTCATCTAATGAATACGATGAAATGACCTGGATTGATATCAATATTGGATTGACTGATATCAAACACAGGAAGAAGGTGTTGCAAATGGTTTACGATGAGCTGAAAAGAATCAACAAAACGATAAGTCGTGCGGAATACGACAGAATCAGACAAATTAAGAAGATTGAACTGGATTACGTTGATAGCATGGAGCCAATTGATCTGGTGGAGGAGTTTGCAGCAAACATGCAGGGAACACCCTATGAGTATGCACTACACGGTGAATTGGTATTTGAAGAGTACAATGAGATATTGATCAGAAATATTCTAAGATGCCTGATGGAGTGGAAGAAGTGGTTTGTGCTTGAAGTAACAGACGACCTGAATGGAAAGGGTGTTCTTGATACTGTACATGATGCCATTGAGTACGTTGATTTGAAAGAGAGTATTGAGATTGATGAGAATGATGAAAGTGGTAGTATCACTCAACCGAATGCTTCTGATGTAGTGATAAGTGATATGAAACTGATCAAGACAGATGTCAGTAAGAGTGATCATATTTGGCAAGGTAGATCATTCAGAAGATCAGGCAGATTAAACAGTGCCTTTGATATGGAATTGGGTGTACCAAAAGGGATCATCACTGTCCAATTTGGGACCATTCAATCAAAGAATGTGGCACAGTTGATCATCCAAAGCAAGGTGATGATTGCATCATTTGAGGAAGAATACGCCAGGATGTTAGAGAACAACTGCATTTCAATATCACTTGGTTACACACCAAGCAGAATACTATTCATATTTGAAGGATTCAATGGAATTATCCATGAAATAGTATTGAAATTCTTTAGGGAAGTCAAAATCAACAGAAACTTCATTGATAACGAAATCAATGATCTACGAGGTGCCTTGAGTAAGAATATCACAGGTAACCCGTATTGCAGATCATCACAGTTCTTTATACGAAGTGTATTGGGATTGGATACAGAAGAAGAAATGGTAGAGAAGTTGAATGGGATCACGTTGGATGAGTTGGTTAAGTTTGATGGCATGAAAGTCTTAGCAGTGGGCAACATTGATCAGAATTCAATCAGTGATATTGATCAGAAATTGTTGAAATGTGACATCATCACCAGTGATGAAAGCAATGAACAAATCAACTTGGGTAAGAAGGAATTCTCATTCCAGAAGCATGCTACTAAGAACAATCTGCTCCATAGATTCCACCTGGTTCCTGATAATCAGGTGCATCTTGGACTGCTCTACATCCGCATATTCAGTGAAACATTCTTTGATCAATTGAGAACGAAGGAGCAACTTGGATACGTGGTGCAGCTGTTCACGTTCTACGTGAAAGAGAGCCTGTTTATTTCATTCAGGGTGCAATCAGAGAAGAGCGTGGAAGAGTTGAAGGAGCGATTTGCCAAGTTCATCAACGACTCACGTGACCTATTGCGTGACATGAAGGATGAGGAAATCGAAAACTACAAAAGTGGACTGATTTTGAATATGAGAGAGAAGAAGAACAGTTTGACAGCACTGAATGACCATGCCATGATTTGTATGAATCGGTTTGAATTTGACCTGAATTCACAGGAGAAGCTGGCAGATCAGATCAGTGGAATCACCAAGAAAGAGCTGATTGGATTTGATGTAGCAGAATTAGTCACCTCTGACGTAACAACACGGGAGTAATAAACAATCATCATTTAGGAATTGATACCTCTGGTACATTATTCATCACATTCCTGATATTGGCGTATTCTGCCCCACTGAAGTTCTCTCCTAATGATTCAACCTTCTTCTTAAGTGCACCCTGGATGCCAATGGCTGTTTCCCTTAATCCAAATTGCGCATATGATGCTATTATGGCATAGAAGTGTTCCAATGTGTTATTCTTGTACTGCAAGTAGTCTTGTTGCGTAACAGCATCATTGTTGATATTCGTAATTATAGTTTGGCCTACTTCCTTCATCTTATCAATATACGTAGGCCTAGTCTTCATGAACATGATGTATGCCCGTGGAATTGAGTACTGGGCGTACGTCTCATCTGGTATGAAGAGTGGTAGATGGAATTTAGTCAGATTGAAAACATCAGTTCCAATTGTGAATGCATCGTACGTCGCAAAGAAATCCATTTTCTTTACCTGTACACCACTGTTATTGTAGTACTCGTAATTTGCCTGAACAATATTCCTGTTTATTTTGCCCCTATTAACCAATTCATCAACATCATTATTGATTTCATCTGCATTCTTTATTCCACCATGAGCGAAGAGTGTTTTAAACGTGGTTGGTTTCTTTGTCATTGGAATAGTGTTCTTGTTGTAGTACATGTTATCACTATCATGAAATAGGACTCCTTTTTTGGCTGTTGTTTTTATCACTGTTTTCTGGGTCTTTCTTTTCGTCTCAATTTGATACTCCTGTTTTAGTGGTTTCTTCCTTGATTTACCTACTGATAATACTATTCCTAACACCAATAATGATACTGATACTATTATAATGGTGCATGACACTATAATTATTCTCCTGGTGTAATTTGGTTTATTTTGCATTTAGGGGATAAAAAGGAATTTGGATATTTGTAAAATGTATAATTTATCTAGGATAAAAGTAACTGATGCCTGAATTCACAGCATCACGTACTCTGTAGCACATTCTCCAAAGTAAATTGGGTTGTTGTTGATTTGGTTCTGCTACAGCAACATCTTCCTGATCATTTTCATTTTCATTCTCTTCTTCTTCTTCATCATCTGCTTCACCTTCCTCTTCCTCTTCATCATCATCATCATCATCTGCTTCACCTTCCTCTTCATCATCATCATCTGCTTCACCTTCCTCTTCATCATCTGCTTCCTCTTCATCATCAGCTTCAACTTGGTCAGCTTCACCTTCACCTTCTTCATCTTCCTCTTCCTCCTCCTCTTCATTCTCCTCTTCTTGAACATCTCCTTCTACAACTGTTTCATTTACAAGTGGTGGTTCCTCATCTACTTCTTGTGCTTGACCACGTCTTGGTCGAGGACGTTGATTTCTTGGTCGAGGACGTTGATTTCTTGGTCGAAGACGCTGCCTTCTTGTTTGAGGACGTTGGCGTCTTGGTCTTGTAGGTGGCAATCTTGGATTAGGCACATATCTAGGCCTACGCCTATTCTGAGGTGATGGTGTTGGTGCTGGATCTTGTGGTGTTGGTATTGGATCTTGTGGTGTTGGTATTGGATCTTGTGGTGTTGGTATTGGATCTTGTGGTTCTGATTCATGTTGTGTTGGATCAGGCTTTGGGTTTTGGTTTGTCGTTTTCGTTTTTGCTCTGTGTTTTTTTGTTACTCTTGTCGTTGATTTACTGTGTTTCTGTATGATAAACAATGTCAATATGGCACTTAATACCACTATTGCCAGCAGAAACGCAAGAATAAGCATTGTGCTGGCCATTTTGTATTTGTTTGATCTCATGAGGAATAAAAATGGGCAATAAAATTACAACTGATAAATAANTGGATCTTGTGGTGTTGGTATTGGATCTTGTGGTGTTGGTATTGGATCTTGTGGTTCTGATTCATGTTGTGTTGGATCAGGCTTTGGGTTTTGGTTTGTCGTTTTCGTTTTTGCTCTGTGTTTTTTTGTTACTCTTGTCGTTGATTTACTGTGTTTCTGTATGATAAACAATGTCAATATGGCACTTAATACCACTATTGCCAGCAGAAACGCAAGAATAAGCATTGTGCTGGCCATTTTGTATTTGTTTGATCTCATGAGGAATAAAAATGGGCAATAAAATTACAACTGATAAATAATGTATAGTTGCAGGAGAAAGAGCTTATTATAAAACCAATATATCACATACAACAATATTTGAGTAAACAAACCATACCAACTGCTGTATTAGAAAGAAGAGGAATTTGGAACAGGCAGAAGTAAAAGTTTGACCTGTTTTACCATATTGAGTATTTAAAAAAGTATGAAAGAGTAAGCTCACCAGTAAATGATCAATTTAAACGTGATTTATGGATTAAAAAGTCAAATTTTGACAATTAACAGTTATTCAGTGATACGTAACTTACTACTGTGCTCTTTGGTGTAAATAAGTACGTTTATAATAAAATATTAGTCATGTGGCGTTCACTAATTCATATTATTTTCAACAGGTTTTCCTTATTCGGTTGATTTATTATTTTATCTCTTATTTGCTACGTACATTACTGATACTACTCCCACTATCTGTAGAACTACGATAAATACGTGTGTGTTCATCTTATTACGCTGATTATTATAAAACAATGTCATAAGGTTCTGATATATTGTTCCATAGAATGTGGATCATTAATTTTATTATATGCTATACAACATCCTCTGTATTAACTTATGGATCCAATACCCTTTTATAAATTACCAAATGTTTCAGTTAGATTTGTTCTAAAAATATGCAACCCTTAATAAAACAATGCGGATTTTTGTAAAGAACAACTTCGCAGGTGATAAAATGCATATTATGGCAAAACACACTGTATCAGATGCCATTGGACTGTATATTAAGATAGATGGATACATTTCAACCAATACGTACAAGTATAAGACAGCAACCTCACCATATTTCTATTCAAAGAACACAAAACAGGATGAGAGTAGTGAAATAAGAGAGATGACTGATGAATTAGAAAAGAAAGAGACCAATAACAACTTATATACAGCAGAATGGCACATTCAACTGCCATACAGGACACTTCCAACCTTCAAGTCAAAAAATATTTCAGTTTACTACGAGGCAGAAGTGATAACAGTACAGCTAAGAAACAAGACAACACACAGAACAAGAGTGGAAATCCATGGAAACAACCTGGATTGTGAGTGTGATACGAATATAATTGAGAATAACAATGAGGAATACTACGAATTGAAGGAGAGACTGTGTAAGGAAGCACTTAAGGATTATTGCACAAACAAGCAAGATGAGTCAATTGACATCAAAACAAACACAGAGGAAGTATTCAGAATAAAGGATGGGACAATTACGATGCAGAAGAATCACAGTGGGAAAAGCAACCTAAATGAAATAGACTTCACGCAGGTGATTCAAAAGGTGCAAGAAATGAAACTGGGCAAGAAAGAACGAAAGGAGATTAGGCCAACCAAATTGCCAGTATTCAGACGAGTCAACATACTGCAGATTGAGAAGGAGCCAACGTCTATGAAAGTAAACAGCAAGAATGGGCTGATTGCAACCATAAAAATACGAGACATTTTGGAGTACAAGGCCAGTCTTAGGATAATTTATGCTAAGGCAATTTATTCCACCCGAATTGAAGTGTTTGTAGAGGACCTGGTTGATGGTGAGTTGATTGATATGACAGTTGTAAAGAGTGAGAGTGTCGTAACAAAGCACTGTCTGGAGCGAGTATTCGACATCGACTTCGAATGCGACGACAAAAAGGTGTTCAGTATAAAGACAGCCAGATTTGAAAGAAGGATCTATTTGGTGGTGAACCTGGACGAGTACGAGGTGAAACTGCCCCTGAAAGTGGCCAATAGCACCGCGCTGATCGAGTATATTTATTAGTTCTGATCGCATAATTTATGCAAAATATTTTGTAAACAAACAAAATGCCTCTTGGTCAAAATCACCTGCTCTTCGACAACAACTGCCGCCTCACCAAGTTCGCCACCGAAGACCACGCCCACCTCCAAGAGCAAATTGAGCACTTTCTGGACCAATTCAGCCAAACCAACGCCACCAACGTCCTCACCAGGTGCGACGACCTGCTTCAGATCTACCTTGAGATGGAAGGCCTCCTTCTAAAGATGTTCAACGAGATATTCCGGACCAAGTTCTACGAAACAAAGCTGAACACGCCTGCCGCCTTCCGCCTCCTAAACAGCCTCTGCAAGTACGCCACCAAAATAGACCGAATTCTCTACAAAAGCGACTTCTTTGTCCATTTCACCCAGTACAAATCCAACAACCCCATTTCCCCAGACAGTCGAGTCGCCCTGAAATTCGACCGATTCCGAATTCTGAGCTGCATGGCCATGCCCATGGCACAGATGATCACCACGCTCTTCTACAGCAGCAAGGTCGATGCGTACTACCCCAGCAGCCTCTCAAAGCGCAGCAAAATATTCCTGTCACCTGTGAAACTCAAGTACCTTCTTTCGTACTACAACCAAGCCAAGAAGGACGAATTCAGGTACCTTCAGGCGCACCTGCTGATGGTCATTGAGATATTCACCAGTGAAATAATGGATAGGAGTGGATTGGATCCAGGACTACTCTCCTACGTTAATACGGTAATAGAATGATGGATGAGACCTGCATATTTAGTTAGTCATTCCAGAAAGTGACACCAAATCACTCAGGTTGCTGTGAAGCAGTCTTCCGCCCCTGTGCTTCCTGTCAATGGTTCCCATGAACTGCTGCAGCTGCTCCCTCTTTCTGAATGCGTACGCCTTGCTCTCGTTGATTGCCAGCACAACCGATCTATCAAAATAGACCAAGGCGTATTCAGAGAATCTGCCTAGAAATGCCCTGATTGGAGATCTGATGTGATTTAGACCAATTTCATCCAACTCCCTGCCCATTGCCGACATCTCAGACTGATTTGCTGTCTCACCCCTCTTTCTCACTGCAACAGCATCCTGTAACGCCCTCACCTTCTTCATTATCACAGTCTGCTCCTGAACAAACTCCCTATATAGATCAGTGATATTGATCAATCCAATCAGTAACTCAAGCACATCAAGACGTATGTCAATTGCCGCCTTATTGAAACAGCCGTTGAACTTGACCAATGCCCTCAGGTCGTAGACGTAGATCAGGTTGTTGATGAAGTGCCTGAACTGTGATCTATAGTTGTCTAGGTTGATCTCCTGAATTGGTTTCAGCTCCTCGATTCCCTCTGTCTCATCTGGAACAGGGTACGAGGCAAGCAGCCTACTGGCGTATGCTCGTACCGTATTGAAGTGCTTGGCCTTCACCACAAATGAGTCGTGATTGATGTAATCAATTAGTCCCCTAATAACTTGAACCAGTAGTGGGATATTGTCCATGTTGTAGATCATTGACTCAAATAGGCCCAGGTTGAAGGTGATTCCAAGCATGGACGCATGTGAGCTAATGAAATGGGCCACTCTCACAAATCGAGTCAGACGCCTCCCCTTGAAAAGGGTGATCTCCTCGAATTCGTCCAGATCATTCTCAATCACAAATTTTGCTGATTTCACTGCCCTATTTGGCTGCCTGAATAGCGAATGTCTCTCTGTGTATCGCAGTGGATGCTCGTATGGATCAGTTGGTGTCCTATCACTGCTTGTGCTGCTCATGGCTGCAATTATGAAATTTGGGTTTGAAATTGTGTCGAACACGTTTTCAATCAAAATTGGTCCAAATGGCGTATTGTGGGTGATTGTTGCCAGAAACCATTGCACATCCTTCTGGGTGATTGGAACAGCCCTGGTCACGTCCGTAGGTGCCACCTCCCTCTCCCTGTCGCCCCTCCTGATCAGAATCCTGCTCTTTTCCTTTATTATTTTGCATAATACGTATATTCCATCACCAGGATGCTCCTTCAGAAGGACTTCCTCGTTCAGGAAGCACTTTGACGTCACGTCTGCCACGAATTCGACTGCCACTCGATGGAGATTCCCCTTGCTGTGTCTCATGAAGAACTTCACCAGGTACTTTCGTAGTTGAATGCTCCTCAACATTATCAGGGTAGAAAAATGTGGTTGCAATTGTAAGTTGTAACCAAATGTAGTCATATGCTACAATATGCTCTAATACCCTATTATACCCTATATGCTATAACACCCTAGTACAACACCTCCCTCATTTTGTAAATCATTGCAAAAATTAACCCCAATGTTACTAACAAACCATCTTGCAACATATTTTAGCACAGTTTGTGCACGACAGGTGCTGCTACAGGCGCAGAACGTGGATGACGAGCTGCCTAGGATGTACAAGGCAACGCAGAACAAGCAGCTGAAGGAGAAGGAGGCGGCCGTCCTCCTCGACGGCGTGAGCATCAAGTTTGACGAGGTCGAGGAGGCCGTAAAGGCCCTCGAGTTCTTCAGGGGAACCGAGAGCGTCCTTGGAAACCTGAACGAGATCACCGAGGAGCTGAAGACGAAGAGCCGCTCCTTCGAGGGCGACCTGCGAACGGGCGTCTTCAGCTTCGTCGTCTTCTTCTCAGACAGCCCCAGCAACCTAAAACGGATCCAGGAGCTGAATGGGCAAAATGACTTCAAAATAATGATCAGCACCGATAAGGCGGCAGCCAAGAAGCTGGGCGCCTCGTTTCCTGGAATTGTCGCCTACAATGCACGAGACCGAAACTGCAGTGCCATGGACTTCCCCAGCGACCTGAAGACCCTTGCGGCCGAGATCACCCTGAGCTCGTTCGAGAAGATCAGTGCTGAGAACATCAGGCTCTTTCAGACGTATCCAAAGAAGATGCTCTACTTCATCACGAGGGAGGAGATCGACTACGATGAGGCATTCAGGAAGTACCAGCCTGAGGCAGTGAAGGCAGCCAAGGAGTGCAAGGTGATCTTCTTCAGACCAGAGGACGTGCCTGTTCTCGACAAGCTCCTTCACCTCGAGAACGAGGAGTATCCCGTGATGCTCCACATGGACGAGAGCAGCAAGCACGTTGTGAAGCGGGTGACGCCTGGCAACTTCGCTGACTCGGTCCAGAGGCTGCTCAAGGGAAAGGGAGAGCGAACCACTTTCAGGTCGGTGATTCCCGAGGACAACAAGGACCGTCTGGTTCGGGTGGCAAACACGGACACTCTTTCGGGAATCAGGGCAGACAAATCAGTTGACAGGCTGTTCGTCTTCAGCAACCCAAGCTGTGGCCACTGCAAGCAGCTGATGCCTGTGGTGGAGGCATTGTCGAAGATTCTGGCCAACAAGAAGGTGAAGATCGAGTTCTACAACTACAACGTGGTTGAGAATGAGCAGATTGCGGATATTGCAGTGCCAACGGTGCCAAAGCTCTTTTTCAAGAAGCAGGGAAGTGTGGAAATGGTCAACATCGACTCATTACGGGACATACCATCACTGTTGAAACACATTAGTGAGAATGGGGTATCAAGCAAGGTGAATTTGGATGACTACAAGGAGCATCTGCCAAAGGAGAGTACTAAGGAGAGTGAGAAGGAGAAGGAGAGTGATGACGATGAGGAGAAGATCAAGAAAGACGAGAAGGAAAGTGAGAAGGAAGGAAAGAAAGAGGGAGAGAAGGAAGGAGAGAAACAAAGAGAAGCACTCTAAAACAGAAGTAAGGTTATTCTACTCTACATTATTCTACTATCATTATACTGTCCTATTACTGTCCTATTACTATCATACTGTTATCATACTATACTATACTATTACTACCCTATTATCATTCTACCCTACTATACTATCATACTATTATTACCACCACTTCACCTCCCTTTCCTTATTCTCTTTACTTTTGGTCTTCCTCCTTCGTACGTCAGCTGGTACCTGAATACGTCTACGATGTTGCTGACATCCGCAACTCGGATGATCCTCTCACTCTCTGTCGTATGGGCACTCCTCTTCGCAAATCGAATTGCTGCATCCTCAGGAAACTTGTTCACCACAACCATCTCCTGCCCCAGGGCGTCCTTCTTGATGCCTCCTCCACCGTCAAGCAGCGCCCATCTCCTCTTCTGGGCCGTGTAGTAGCTCGTCTTCTTCGTAATCAGGTTGTGCTTCGCCTTTAGATCGTGTATATTGCGGTGTCTGAAGAGACGGCTGTTCTCCTCAAGTGTCTTGCTCCACCTGGTTCCATTCTTCCCAAATCCACTGATCAGAGCCGCCTCCTCCTCGGCCGACCACCGTCTCCTCCTCCTCACGTCTGGTCGAAGTGGAACGTACGTCGCATTGTTGCTGCTCTCGCTCATGGCCGATATTTCTATTTTGGCACGGTTGTAGTTTTGCACCCTTTTTGCCTGACTGGAAACACCCTTCACCAAATCAGAACTATTTTCGTCCCTATCAAATGAGACGAATTTGCTGTTGCTGATCAGCGAGTTCGTCTGGGCTGATTCGGTGCTGCTCTCCTCAATCGCACTCTTCTGACAGGATCGTGGCCTCTCAGAGGGGACATCGACGGCAGTGGCTGCCAAGGCAAGGCGGCTGTTCACGGTCTCAGGCACCGCGGCCGAGTCGTCGGCCTCGCTCCTCTCTGCCATCTCAACCAGTGCTGAAAGAGGGAGCTTCCTCAGCTCCTCCTCCTCTTTGTCCCTGATTCGCCTCTTTTCAGCCTGGCTCAGTTCGCCAACTGAGGCAGGGGGCTGCTTAGGTGTTTTCATGGGCAAGAACAAACAAAAAAATAAACCAATTTACCACGTGGCTACAGTCTCCTCACGTCATTGGGCAGTGCCACAATCACGCCCTCTCCATCGGCAGCGAAGTTCTCGTCGACCACCTCGTCGCAGAACGTCCTGATCGAGTATCGGTGCACCTTGTTCTCCAGGACGTCGGCCACATTCCACCTAATCAGGTACTTTCCAGTCGAACTCACAATCTGCCTGTCATTCTGGTCAAACTTGGCCACGGTGAAGCAGACGCCTGCGTTTATCAGGGCCAGGTGCTCTGGCTTCAGGTGGAGGCGACGAGGCGACTTCTTCCTCCTTCCTAGGCCAATCGAGTAGTCGCTGCCCACCTCGTAGAGCAGAATGTACGACTTGTAGGTGCATAGAACCAGTGAGCCACTCTTAGACGAGTCAATGCCCGTAGCACAGTCTCCAAACCCGTTTATGAGCGACTTGGCCCTCTTTCCCACGTCGTTGTAGAGGCGCAGGTCTCCCTTTGCACTTGCAACGGCCACGTCGCCCCTTTCAGTCGCAATTCCAACCTTAAACTCGTTCTTCGTCTTGTACTCCTTTGCCTCCACCACTTTCTCCTTCGTCCTTGGGTCTATTCGAAAGAGACTGTAGTCTCCTATCCCAACCAGTGTCCCGTCATTCTCCCTCCTTTTGGCGTGGAAGAAGTCGTTCATCTCCTTCAGGCTCCACCTGTCAACAACCTCGCCCTTCTCCAGGTCGAGCAGACTCAGCTCGTCCTTCTTCGTCTGCCCCAGGAGACTGCTGTGACCCCGATACGTCTCAACCTTACTTGGATTGTCAAACGCATTCACAACCTGAGTTCTGAAGTTTAAGTTGGTGTCAAACACCCCCAATGCCCTTCCACGAGTCACAAACACGCTTCTATCGTCCACAACAAGGTTCCTGTTCTCCACCCCTTCTTCTGTTACGAATTCAGGCGGACTATTCTCAGTGGCACCGGCGTACTCGGTCCAGTCCTCCTTCTCTTCCTCCTTCTTCTCTTCCACAGTCACAAACATCTCCTCGAAGTACTTGGAATCAGTTCCATCCTCATTCACCGACCTGTAGGTGCACTCCACGAAGGAAGTCAGGAACTTCAGGAAGTCGAGGTTCTCCTTGAACTTGATGCTGAATGTCTGGTACTTTCTCTCCTTGAAGATGGACCAGACAACTGTCCTATTTGCCTTATCCATGTAGTACTGGGTGGCAGACGTAATGGGCTGGAAGTGGACGACTCTCTCTTCCTCCTCGAGACTGAGGTAGAATCCACCAAGATCCTCGCAGACCGTGATCTTCTTCTCGTCCAGGTCGACAAGGGTGAAGCACTGCTTCACCGTGTCATAGACGTAGTAATCGAAGTCATCGGACTCAAAGAGCGTCTTCTCTGGCTCAATGATCGGATGGATCATTTCGTAGATTTGGTCGTGATTTCTGTCGAATATCCGGTACTTTGCCTCCTTGGTTTTGATCACCAGATGATCCTTCTTGTTCGCAATCTGCTTGATGTCTGTTACGTCAAACTCGTCCGTGAATATCTCAATCTCGTTGTCGCTGATCTTGACGTCAACTGTTCCAAGATACTCGTTCTGCTTGTAGAGTCTCGCCTTCTCTTCCTTGTGTCCCAGTACAATATTCTTCAGTAGCTCAAACACCATTGGGGTAGAATATTTAGGCAAATGACTATCTGACCAAATAGACCATCACAAGCAGCTCCACGAGGGCAGTTCCAAAGACGAAGTAGAGGTTGAGTGCCATCTCCTTGCTCCTCTCAATCTCAACCTTGATGCTTCTGCTGTAGAAGAAGAAGTAGACCAGAAGGAGGTAGGCAAGTGCGACGTATCCAATGACCCTGAAACCAAAGAGCAGAAGGAGCTTCACTATCAGTATTGGATAGTACTTGTATCCGGTGAAGCAGATGAGGGTGATCAGGCCCAGTCTGAGGCCCAGGACGAAGCCAACTGCGTAGTAGACGCAGCTGATTCCAATTTGGGCAAGGAGGTTCCTGGAGACCATCAGAAAGAGCTTTTCGGGGTGGAACTCCTTCGATAGGCCGATTTGGAGAGACCTGAGCATCACGAGCGTAAGCAGGGACATCAGGGGAATGTACAGGTCTGGTTTGAGCAGGTAGTCGAGGGTGTTGTTGAATGGGTAGAGAATCAGCCTCAGTTTGTCGAGGATGTACGCGTTGTTGACCTCGAAGTAGACTCGAATGAACGCAAACCGCTTTGAATCGATCTTCTTGTTCACGTACTCCTGTCCTGCTTTAACAACATGTGACGTCATTTTGTAGTCCATGGGCACATTTTTGACCAATTCACTACAATCAGCCATTTCACTACATTTAGCCAATTTATTCAGTCTATTGCGTATAGCAGACCCAATGCGCCCAGCACACTCAGCCCGTAGAGCATTGCTCGCCTGAAATACTGTCGCAACTCCCTCTCGGTGTCGTAGAACTCGAACTTCTTCCCGTTCTTCTTGATCAGTGGCGTATAAATCGGCCTATTTTGGTGCACAAATCGAATTGTGAAGTAGTTGCACGCTCCAGTGAATTCCACCTTCGTCAGGTCGAACTTGATGCCCTGGTTTTCAGCCAGAAACTCGTTGATGATTTTGTCCTTGGCTTCTTCCGTCTTGGCGCTCTTTAGGCTTCTGGGCAGCTCGATGCTCCTGAACTTCTGGTTCTCCAGGTCTATGACGAGTTTATCCGCATCACAATCTTCATTCAGTATCCTCTGATAGACGATATCCTTCTGTAGTGTCACATCTGCCGTGTAACTTGCTGTCTTGAACTCAGCTGCGTGCACCTCCTTATCAAATGAACCAGAATAGAACACCTTGTCAGCCAGGTAGCTTGGATCTGGTACGGCAAGCAGGGACTCGTCCTCTATTTTGAATGCGTCACTGATGGCACTGTCGTATTTCACGGTGTTCATGAACTCCTCGAGGTTCTGCATGTTTGTTTTGTTTACTGTTTTAAAATGTATGAAACTGTTAGGTTTTCTACTAGGAATCCCTCCTACTCCTTTAATAAAATTGTAGAACTGAAAAGATCAGCCATTTTGGGAAAGAGGCCTCCATCTGATTGTAATCCACGATACTGATTACTTTTTCATCTCAAAATTGCACTTGAGTACCCCAATGATGACAGAAAAACAGATCATAATTGGAAAGTGTCTATCTGTGACTGATGGAGACACGATCAAGTGCACTCTGGTGCAGAACATGAGCAAGTACTCCTTTCATAAGCCATTGATCAAGATCAGGATATCAGGAATTGATTCGCCTGAACTTGATCACCAGAATATGGAGAATAGTCAGCAATTTGGGGTGGAAGCTCGTAAGGCAATGGCCGATATGGTGCTGGATAAGGAGGTAGTCATTGAAATTCTGGCTAAAGACAGGTATAGGCGGTATTTATGCATTGTTTACACGAAGGATGAGATCAATACGAACCTGAGTATGCTGAAATTGGGGCTGGCTGACATGTACAAAGGTCCAAATGCCCATTACGGTGAGTTTGAGAGACAGTTCAAGGATGCACTGGAACAGGCCAAGAAGAATAAGGTTGGAATGTGGTCAGTTGATGACGTAATCACACCATATGAGTACAAGAAGAACAAGAAGAACTCGCACAGAGACAGACTTGACATTGAGACGAGTGAATCGTGCATTCACGGACTGTAATGGTCTATTTAGTAAAGGATTGGAGTTATTTATAGGGCAATAGTCTGCTAATACCATCACCAAATTACTTTTTCAATATCAGTATAAAACCAATTTTACTACCCTCACCATGTTTATCAAGTTGGCTGGTGCAATCAAGGCACGCGTACTCAACGTGGTCGATGGTGACACGGTCAAAGTGATCGTGCTTGACAGGGGCACCTATTCGACGTACAACAGGGCCAAACTCAGAATCCGCCTCTCTGGAATTGATGCACCTGAAATTGATAAGGACAATCTGATGGATTCACAGCCGTATGCGGTGGAAAGCAAGGTGTTTCTAGAGGCCCTAGTCCTAAACAGGCGAGTTACGATTGAAATGGTGAAAGTGGACAAGTACGACAGAATACTTGGATTCATATTCCTGGAAAACTGGTTTGACGTTGGAAGACGGATGCTTCTGAGTGGAATGGCTGACATCTACGATGGAATCGACTCACAGTACGGGGAGTATGAGGACGTGTACAAGTACGCCGTGGCACATGCCAAGTTATTTGATGTTGGAATGTGGTCGCAACAGAGAGTGGTACGACCAAGGGAGTTCAAGAGGGAGGTGAAGAAGGCGTTGGAGTACGAGGAAAGCGATGAGACTGAAATTGGATGGGCAAAGAGAAGCTGTGTTGAGGAGACAGGGGAGATGCTGGCCCTGAAAATGAACAAGTTGGGAAAGAGGATTCTTAGGGGTGTTTCTGGTGGGATTGAAACTGGTGCCCTGATCTGGAACATGGATAGGGCACTTCACGCATTTATGACTGGTAGAATAAGCAGGGTGGAATTGGATGAGTTGAGTGAGTTCGTAGGAGGCAGAAGCGTAGAGAACGGGGTGACAGGTGAGCGAACTGAGGAGGAACAAGAGGAAATTGAGCAGCTGAGGCAGAAGCAGGAGGAACAGGATGGGGAAGTGGGGAAGATGGTGGAGGAGCACAACAGGAAATACGGAATCATCAAGGGCCCAACTGTGGTATTCAAAACATGCACCAGTTACGACCACTAAATTAACTTATTGTCTCATATCTTCCTGTACATCTTCTTGTGCTCCATTGGGGTGATTGCGTTTCTATTCGTCCACATTCCAAGTCTCCTTCTTTGAGCGTGCTTCTGCATGCTCAGCATGGTCTCCTTGTATCCACCGTACATCGCATTGGCACCGACGTAGACGCAGGCCATCCCAGTCTCAACGAGCATCAGGTTCACGCACTTCCTGAACAGCCATGTTCCAACATAGGCGACTACGATGAGTCTTCCGTAGTGGTCATGGCCTACGACCTTAACCTTGATCTTCTTGTACAAAACAAGGTAGGAAAGAAAGACCTTGGACTCCCTGGCGTGAGGCTGTTCTGGCTTTCCAAATGCCCTGATTTCTGGTGCATCAATTCCAGCCAACCTGAAGCTTAACGTAGGCAACTCCTTCTTCACCACGCCCTGTTTGCCGAATATCCTCGTGCTTCTTAGCATTGGCTTGTGAATGGCCTTGAATCCGTCTCCATCTCCAACTCGTGTGACTCGGACTGAGAAGGATGCGCCATTTGGTATGTTTGATTCAACTGTGTATCTTTTGTAGAAGAACCTGTAACATAAGTAGAGAAGCACCAGTATTGAGCCAATGAGACTGGCATAGAAGAATACCAGATTCCAATTTACCATTTGATGGGTTTGTTTGTATTGTTTTAATAATACTGTTGAAGAATGGGTCAAATCAGTTGAGCTTGTTGATTTCAACAGCAATTTTGATTTCATTCAACAGGTCGAGCAGGTCACAGCACTCTTTCGTGTACTCCCCTTCCAGAACAGACTTCTTCAACATGTATTTCTGTATTTCAGCATTGTTGCGTCTCTTGATGTTCTCCTTCTCTTCCTTCTGATCAGAAAGCAGCCTATGCTCCTCCTTGATTGCCTCCAACTTCTGTCTGATTTCTTCATTGAATTTGCTGCTTTTTGCCCCAAGGCCATCAATTTTGGTTTGTAGGTGCTTTGTTTGTCTCACAGTGTGGTTCTTCCGAATCTCCTTGTTTTTGATTGAGCTTTCATGACTCTTGATTTGTGAATTAATCACAAACTCATTCTGTTCAACTCGATCTGTATCCTCCTCAATCTTCTGTAGTTTCATTGCTATCGAATGAATCTTCTTCACCTTTTCTAATGCTTTTATGCTCTTTGTTAATTTGTTTGTCATGCCTGTTCTATCTTTGTGCACTTCCTTATGCTTCTTCTTCTCTGCATCAAGAAGAAGTCTCATCTCCTGCACCAGACCCAACAACTCCTCTGGATTAGATACTATTTGCATATTCAACTTGCTCACATCCTGTGCCAAATTGTGCTCTATCATCTCCAATGTGCATATTTTGTCACTTAAATCAATCTTCTCTTTCTTCAATAAGCCTATTTCACTCAGCCTGTCCTTCTGTTCCTGTTTTAACCCTTTGTATTCTTTCTCTAATTCGCCTATTTCCTCCCTGATTCCGTCTACCCTTTCGTCATTCTCCTCCTTCTGTTTTTTGAATGCTTCTATCTCCCTAAGCATCCGACTTTTGTTCCCCTGTAACTCGTTCTTGATGTTCATGCTTCCTTCTGCTATCTCAGATGCCCTATCATACAAATCCTTCTTTGAATCCCTAAACATTGAGAAGTTTGCTATGTAACTGCATATTTGGGTGAATGTCCTCTCATTTGGGTTGAATATCTCCTTGAAACTCAGATTCTTCAGTCCAACTGTGCTTACGAAATCAGAAACTTCCTTGATGAAGTTCAGCATTGCATTTGGATTCTCAGTTTGACTGAAATAGTTTCTGTTCACGTAGATGTTGAGGATCTCCATGTAGAATCTGGTCACAAACTGACTGGTGGGTCTAATGAGATTCTGTTCAGTCATCTGAATCTCCAACTCCTTGAAGTAGTTGACGATCTTACGCTGAGGCAGAGCAGGCAAATTGAATGCAGGCATTTTGGGGTAAAAATTGTCACTGCCTGCAAATTGGTCGAACCTTTTTATCTCGCCTTATTTTGGAGATCAATTCACTGTTGTACGAAATCATTTCAGGCGGAATCTTCTCAAGCAGTTTCTTCACTTCCATTTCCCTCTTCTCATTCTTTGTCATATATGGACTGATTACGTCTGCGTTATATCGAATATCACTGCTCTGCGGTGCCACAAATGATTCATACTTGTTTCTGGTGGTTACAGTCAAAATATCCTCAAATGGATTGAATTCAAGTGATCCAATATTGGTTGCAGTGGTGATCTCCTGGTTTATTTTGGCCTCGTTTGGATCAAATAGCACCACTGTGCTACCACCACCCAATGCCACAGTTCCATTTGTGCTGATTGCCATTTTATCAGTATATTTTGTTGATATTTCCTGAAGTGGTTTGAAATAGTTTCGTAGATCAAATGTCTTGATCTTGTTGTCGTACGTGCTAACATACAGCTTGTCTTTGCCTCTCTTCAATTCTTTGATGTTTCTGTGCACTTTGATCTTCATCAGTGGTTCAGGTTGTTTTGGTGCAACAAGATCAACTACGCCTCTTCTGTCTCCTAGGCAAATTATTCCATCAAAATGGCAACTTGCAACTGGTTTGAACTTTATGTCCAATTCTGCTGCTATTTCACCGCTAGTGGTATCAAGATACTTCAATTTGTTACTGGTGGAAGTGCAGCACATGCATCCAAGCAGAAAGTGATCAGGTAGAAAGTTGCTTTGTAAAATGTTCTTGATGCTTCTCACTGCGTGTAATTCAACTCCCCTATTGTTGTAAATGTAGAGACATTCCTGTCCTAGTGCAATATATCGTTCACTGTGCAAATAGGTAGCAGTTGATATTTCAGTGAAATCTGATTCAAAATCAAGCATGAGACTTTGTGTACCAAAGGATGCAGCGAAGCCATCTCTGTTCCAAATCAGTGAGTGTGATCCATTCTGGTTGTAGCACGTGTTGTATGGATGTGGCTTTGTCTCCAGATCCAGTTTGATTGCCTTCTCTTTGGTGTACAAATTCACATTCTCTTTTATGTATTCTTGTTCCAATAAATGCTCCGAATAGCCCAGTTTCACTCTTTTTAGCAACTTGGCTTCTCTCTTGTTGCCGTGTGCTATTTCACTGTACATCTCATTCAACTTGTTCTCCTTCTCATTTTTCTTCACCAAAATATCAAATTTCCTTTTTTCTTCCTGCTGATTATTCTTTGTCATAAAATGGGCTGTTTTTAGGGCATTTTTAATAAATCAATATCATAGGCGAAATCTCTCATTTCAATTGCATCACACTGCTCTAACAACCTAATTAGTGCTTCAATCTCATCTTTGTCCAATTCTTCTTTTGCTTTATTGCATATTTTTATCCTTGCTTCTTCCTGATACCTAATATCAATATCCAATTCATTTTTGATGTAATCAAATGCACATTCTACTTCTGAATCATTGTATTGGTTCAATATATTCAGCAAGTGGTAGAATATTCTGTATTTTGGTACATTGTTCTTGAACACAATTCTTCTACCTGGTACAATATTGGTTTTCCTCAACAATTCTTTTGTTGCTACGCCTTCGTAAGATTGTTCTTTTGATGCTTCTACCAGAAAATCCTTTTCTCTTTCAGTTAAATTGATCAATACTGAGTATATTTTCACAACGAATATTTTCAGGTTGTTTCTATGCTCATAGATCAGATCACGTGAATATTCATCCAAATATAGATCATTGGGCCATGTTGATTGTTCTATCTTCTGTAACAGAATGGCATATAGCGCTATTCCACAATTGATCACGCTGAAGTGGCTATGTTTCATAGCATCAAATGCAATTGATAAATAAAGTGCTACTGATCTGATCACTGTTATTTTTGAATCGTAGACTGCTATACTTCCCAGAGTATTCTTTTTGGTCTGTTCAATAGGCTGTAATTCATTAAGAAGCAGCTGTTGTTTGCTAATATCCTTTTCTGCTAGAAATTCACTGTAATTTGGTAAATCATCCATCAGAAGAATGAAATCTAAATCAAATAGTCCAAGTTGCTTGGTTTTAAGCAATGTGCTCAGAATATTCAGGCAGTGGAATTTGATATGGACTTCATCACTGTTGATATAAATGTTAATGATATAATCAACATCAACGTTGATGAGACCAAAGAATGCTGATAATCCACCACTCTTCCTACAATTCTTGTTCAGTGATCTGATGATTTCAATCAAATTCAGGTTATTTTTTGATAGATCAATATTCTTGAATATCTCCTTAACATGTGTAGTGATTCCCCAATAATTGCAATTCACCAATATCGTTAGACTTTCGTTGATCAAATTGAGCCTATTGAATATTCCAATTGTTTTCTTGATGATAGTCCAGTCATAATTATCGATGTCTGATTTAAGTGTCAAACTGTGTGGCTCAAAGTATTTCTCTCTTAATTCATTTTTGATATTCATCAGTTCTTTATCGTTGACTGATTCCAGCATATCCAAGTATTCAGGTGTGTTAAACAATTTCTCCTTAGTTTGAGAAACTTCCAGTATTTCACTAATGGTTCTTTTGATAGGTTTCTTTTTGTTGCAGATGCTCTCTGTCAGACTTATCCTCCTAATTTTGTTTCGAATTGTTCTATTGGTGTCTTCATGGAGTCTATTTTTGATAATCAAATCCATGTAATCAAAGTGCTGAGCTAATATCATTCCAAAATGCCTTCTGGCTTCATTATTGCTCTGCAACATCCTATCAATTTTGATCTTGATTTCATTTTTACCTGAAACACCTGCTTTCTTGATTCTGTCTATTACCACTGTTTGATTCGCTTCCAAATAAATGTATTGGTTTTTGCTAAGCCAATTATTGAAATCATTTGTATCAAATAGTGCACAACGGATGTATTCACTGTTCTGATACATCCTAAAGATAGCACTGGCATACTCTCTGTTCTTATAGTCACTTAATATGTTTCTACAGCCTACCTCTGTCAATTTACCTGATTCAATACATTCCATTATATCGGATAAATTCAATTTCGTTAATTTCATACCTTTTGAATTAATCTGCCTAATGTGCTTTGAGAGATCATCTTCTACTTCTTCACTTCTTATGAAGCATTTGATTGGTTTTATTTTGTATTTTGAGTTCTTTTTAACTAGTTTTATGCACTTAAACACGTTCAATATTTCTCTATGTATCTCTTCTCTGTCCTTGCTTCTGTTCGTTGAATTCAGTAAACACGTCAGTGTACCATAATCACAGAACTTAACTATGCTAATTAACCACTTGGTATCATCTCTTCTTTCTACAATTAAATTGTGTAAGTTTTTAGCGACTTCCATGGACTAAAAATGTTAGATTATTCTTATTATGTTCTTTATAGTTACCTGATTTTATCTTAAAACAGTAGTAGACTACATCTATATCATTTCAATAGCATACTACACACCTATATGGTCAAACCTATTCATTACAAAATCCTATAACCCCAATAATGGTTAGAGAAAGAAAGTGTGTAATGATAAAAACAGAACCATCAATAAAGGAAGTCATTGGAACAATAGCTGAGAACAAGAAGTTCCTAATCCACGATATGGACGACAACTACATTTTTATAACGGAACAAGGTGCTAAGAACATAGAACAGAAAGTCAAGAATGTGATGCGAGGAACACATGATAAATTCATGTAATTGGTAGAAAACCAAAACAACAACCCCAACAATGCAAAACTTTTTTGAAGTCATCAAAACATCGATGGATAAGGCGTCTAAGCACGTTCTGTTTGTGAATCCAAAGCACAAGGAGCTTGTTGAATCAGGTTACGTGGAAGTTAAAGAAAAGTATTTGTTTGGTGTCATGGAGGATACAACAATTCCAGTAAACAAAGTGGCATGTTCCAATCCACAGAGAGCCCTTCTTTCAGTAATAATTGGAGACCTAATGACTATCAAAGCGTATAAACAGACACCAGATCCAATACAGGCAATCAAGTTGAGTCTTGGACTATTTGGAGCACAAGGTGCCACTGTGGATTCAAATGAGTTTGTAGAGGCATTTAAGCGAGAAATGCTCTCATTCCCATTCAATTGGTCACAATCACTCATTTTTGATTATCAAGGAACATTGTTGAAAATAACAGTAAACGAAATGAGTACAGGTGAAAATGAAGAAAGAGGAATTCTGAATGAAGAAACAGATGTGTTTGTTAGCAGTGCATCACCAAAACTACAGTTGAACAATGCACAGATCGATAATACGCTACTGAAACCAAACTTCTCCTTTGAGAAACTGGAAATAGGCGGATTGAAGAGGGAATTTGAGCAGATGTTCAGAAGGGCCTTTGTTCAAAGATTGTACGATCCAGAAACAATCAAGAAGCTGGGTATTCCACACGTAAAGGGAATAATGCTCTATGGTCCACCTGGAACTGGTAAGACACTTATAGCTAGGAAACTGGGATTATTGCTTGGAGCAAATCCACCTAAAGTGGTAAATGGACCAGAAATATTGAACAAATACGTCGGACAGAGTGAAGAGAACATCAGAAACCTATTTGCTGATGCAGAGGCAGAGTATAAGGCAAAGAAAGAACATTCTTCGTTACACATAATCATTTTTGATGAGATTGATGCAATTTGTAAGAAACGAGGCAGTGATAATTCAGGTGTTGGTGATAAAGTTGTGAATCAGCTTCTGAGCAAAATAGACGGTGTTGAAGCACTCAACAACGTGCTAATCATTGGAATGACCAATAGGTTGGATTTGATAGACGAAGCATTGCTTAGGCCTGGTAGATTTGAAATCCACCTGGAAATATCACTTCCTGATGAGGAAGCACGTCTTGAAATATTTGAGATCCATACGAAACAAATGACAGGAAATAACTTCATATCTGATAATGTTGAACTGGATAAGATGGCAGCAATGTCTAAAAACTACACTGGTGCAGAGATAGCAGCAATCGTGAGAGCAGCAAGCTCATTTGCATTAGAAAGGAATATTTCAGCAAAAGATGGAACTGGAGCAGAATTGAAAGCAGAGGAAAAAGAGATCAAGATAACAATGGAAGACATGCGACAGGGGCTAGTAGAGGTGAAGCCAGCCTTTGGGGTGGATGAGAAGGAGTACTTTTTGACTAACAAAATATTGTATGAAACTAGGCAATTTGATCTGATAATGGATTTCACAAGAAAGGCCCTTGAGAAACTCAGATTGACCAATTTGTACAAAACATCGTCATTGCTTCTCTATGGGACAACAGGTGTAGGGAAGACAACACTGGCACTGAGATCAGCACTTGCGTCACAGTTTCCATTTATCAAAATGATCATGCCAAAGGATCTTGTTGGACTGAGTGAATACGAAAAAGTGGCATTCATCAAAGAGAAGTTTAGTAACGCATACAAATCAGAGGAGTCGATTGTGATTCTGGATGAGATTGAGACACTGATTGAGTATGTTGGAATTGGACCAAGGTTCTCAAACAACGTTCTTCAGGCATTGAAGATATTCGTGAAGAATGAGGCACAAAGTGAAGCAAACAAGACATTTGTGTTTGGTACGACATCCATGCCAGATGTGTTGATGGAATGTGGGCTGGTTGACTGTTTTACAGACAGCTTGCTTGTTGACAAATGCTGTAAAGAGGAGTATGATGAATTGTGTCTCCAGAATGAGCAGTTTAACCAAGTTGAATTCACTGAGAATGTGAGTATAAAGAAGTTGCTTACTGCACTACCAGTGGACAAAAACAAGTAGAAATGTTTGTTTATTGCCCATGATAGGCATAAATGGATTTGGTAGAATAGGCAAAAATGTGTTTAGACGATTCTGGAACTGTGGAATGAAGGTGAAGATGATAAATGATCCAGGCGTAACAGTAGAATACATTGTATACTCTCTGAAGTATGATACTGTCTACCAGGGGATTGGGATTCGAGCAGTACCTGTGACTGGAGGCATAAAAATTGGAGATGATTTCATTCAAATTAGTCACGAAAGAGATCCAGAAAACATAAAATGGAAGGATTCTGGCGTAGAATGCGTGATAGAAGCATCTGGATTCTTTTTGAAGCAGAAATTAGCTAACAAACACAATACAAATGTTGTGATTTGTACAGGGCCATCTGACGACATTGATATGTTCGTATACGGAGTTAATCATAGCAAAATCAATCATAATGCCGAGAAACTCATCATTTCTGGTGCTTCATGTACTACAAATTGTATAACACCAATGATCAAACTCATTGATGAAAAGTATAAAATTGTTGCATGTGCCTTGAACACAGTTCATTCTGTGACCAGTACACAGGCTACGGTAGACAAGTGCAGCTCAAAGAATTTCAGACTCGGTAGAAGCTGTTTCAACATCATTCCCAGTACAACAGGTGCTACGAAGGCGTGTGAGAAGATTCTGCCTGAACTTGTTGGCAAAATGTCTGGTTTATCAATGAGAGTTCCAGTTGCAAATGTAGCAATCTGTGACCTGACTGTACAGCTTGAGAAACCATTAAGTGACCTGAATGAGTTGGTGAAACTGATTGATGCTACAAAAGAGGAGTATTGTGGAGTAATGGCTTATACTCATGATCAGGTTGTAAGCCAGGATCTCAATGGACTGGACAAATCATCTCTTTTGGATGTGACTGGTTCAATCAGAATCAGTGATACGTTCATTAAGTTGCTTTGTTGGTACGATAATGAGAGTGGATATTCCAGTAGAATCGTAGACCTGGTGAAATACATTTTTAGTAAAAGATGAGTGGAAATTTTGACCATGGAATTTGAAGAGGCGATTAAAGAAATTTCCAGAGTGAATTTGGCTGATGAAAGTGCAAATGGAGAGGCAGAAGAAGACGGATATAGAGACAATGAGATGTCACAGTATAAGACAGGTGTGAAATTACAAGGATTAATAGAGGAAGTGAATAATGAGTTGGAGATGAATTATTCTGAAAATATGAGTGAACTATTTGTACAGTTTAAGACTATTAGGAATATTCTGCTAATTAAGCCTGAAGAATGCATGAATGTATGCTTAAATAAGCTTAATTTACATAAAAGAATGAATTACATGATTTCATGCGAGAATTATGATGGAATAGCAGTAGAATTGAGCAATATCGTATTCAGAGTGCATGGAGCAGATGCATATACGTCAGTAGGTGCCAAGCACATTATAGATGTGGTGAGTATTCAACAGAACGTAGGAAACAATCAGTTGCAAGAAAGTAGAAAAATGAAGAAATATAAACAAAAAGACTACAGTGAAGTAACACATGAGATACCTGAAGAACTCACGGTCTCAGAATACTACTATTTGGTTGCTAGAATGAAACACGTTGCCAAATATGAAGACAATGATGTGATCAGGAAGACTGCCATCAACACAATATGTCTATTCATGTTGAACTACTTAGAATATGACATCAGACCATTCTACATCGAATACGCCCATGAAAACCAAAGAGAATTGGTAGACTCCTTCAACCCATCATCCATCAAGGCCGTTGACTTCTTTAAGGTAGATTTGGTTTATGCAAAGGGAATTGCACTTATGAAAGGATTTGAATGGGAATTTGCCTACGACAAATGCTTCAAGTTCTACAAATTCAGAAATGAGAGAATTAAGTGCCTTACAGCATTGGGTAAAAAGAAGGAGTTGGAACAGGAACTACGTGAATATATGATACATATTTTGAAGCAAGAAAACATCCACATCACAATCAATGACATATTGCTTGATCTCTCAGGTTGTGCATTCACTGGGTTTTCTAAGACGAATGCCATGCGATTATCGGATGTGATTGTGAAGCTGGGTCATCTCTACCAAAATGTGGCATTTTATGATTTGGCATCGAAAATATTCAGGTCGTTTAAGCCACTTCAGGCCAAATGCCTCTTCTACTTCCAAACAGGCCATTTTGATAAATGCGCTAGTGAATGCCTGAAATTGCTCAAAATGAATCCAGAACTCTACGACGTCCAATTCAACTACGGATGCTGTCTGATGGAACTCAACAAATACAACGAAGCAGCCAAAGTATTCAAGAAGTTGAGAGATGAAGACCAAATGAATGTGAATGTCGTAAAGAACCTGTCTCATTGCTACTACAAGATGAATGACCTGGAGAAAACACTTCTTAACTTAAAGGGTATTTCCAGACACGATATGGGTGCATTGAAGGAATACTTACTGATCAGTCTAAAGAATAACTACATTGATAACGTTAAATGGGCTCTGAAACGCATCAAAATCGATAAGATGATTGAAGAAGCTCTCTTCTACATAATCAGCAACAATATTATTAGTAGAAATGACATACTGGATATTCTGAGGGAGAATCCATATTGTGATATGAATCAGATTAGAATATAAGAAATTTATCAAATTTTACCGTAAATGGAGTTCAATACAAAATTAACAGTCAAAAACATCCAGAAAATCAAGTGCAGTTGGCGTAGTGTCTATTTGATCACATTTAATGAATCACTGCCATTTGTACCAGGAGATTCATTAGCCATATTTGCACAAAACAGTCGCAATAAAATCAAGAAAATTGCCAGTTTATTCAAGTGGACTGTGACTGATGAATTGAATGATGTTGATTTGGATTTATTCCCACGCAGATCACTTCTAAGGGATATCAAAGAACACTGTTCCAACAAATCAGCTCTTAATCAATTACTGAAAGATGTGAGAGTATACAATGAACACGTTATAAAGTACAATTTAGAGGATATAGTAAGATTATTTGATATTGATCAGGTGCCAATAGAGACATTCTTGAAGCACTCTGATCGAATTAAACCCAGAAACTATACACTGATCAATAAATCAGGTGAAAGCATGAAGATATTGGTTGGAATAATATCAAAGAACAATAAATTGGGACACATCAGTGAATTAGTGGAAAACAATGAAATGAATCAGGTTAAAATGAGTGGATTCATCAGAAAGAACAAACTGCTTGAAAAGTTGCAGATGACACATTTTGATAGAGAATTCGTTATGATATGCACAGGAGTAGGAATTGCACCATTTATAGCATTTGATGTCAATTGCACTCTTAATAATCCTACGGTGATATATGGATACAGAAACAATGATGATAATTTGATCAATATCTTTGATATAAACAAGGATACCCTGATAGTTGAATGCAAAAGCAGTGATGGGAAAAGAGTGACTGATTCAATTGATATTTTACGAGACAGAGATGTGAATGTCTTCATTTGTGGGAATATCAAAATGCAACGAGATGTATTCAATCGTATTATGCTTGTGAATAGGAAACTGGTTGATCAAAAACAGGTGTATTTTGATAGTTGGATGTAAATGTGACTATGATTCAATTATTGCTTACCATCATCACTGGGGCTGTCACCTGTTACTGGTTCATCTGATTCGTTGTTTTTGCGCATTTCTTCTGATATTTGTCTCATCCACTCTTCTCTATCCCTCTTAATTCGTTCATCCATTTTCTGTATTTGCTCATCCAAACTTACAGATGTGTTGCTCCTTTCCTCACTATTTGTTTCTGAATGTGATATTTTCTCGTATTTTGTTAATTCAACAGGTTCAATAGTTTTAACAACCACCTTCTTTGTTAATGCGTATGATCCTCTTGCGGAACGCCTTATGAATAGACAGGGTTTTTGACCAGCTTCCTTCTTTTCAGTAGCTTCTTTGTTTCCTTCTGTTGGTGGATTTTGTCTGCATTTCATTTCACCTGATTTCATTTGTTCAGTTGAATCTGAATTGGCCTTGCTGCTACACAGGCTGCTTCTACCAAGCTATTCCAATAAATCATAGGGTTGTTTATTTGTTTATTATCAAAATTGATAAATATTGAATAAATTACCACAATATCAGTTTACTCACTTCCTGTTCTTGTAAATAGTGTATCCTACTCCAATTGCCACTACAATGAAGCTGAGTAGGATGAATCTGCTCCAATGCCTCCTCTTTTTCATTGAGACTGAACCCAATACGCCATTTAGCACCGTAAATTTGACATCCTCACCTGATATTCCTACGCCCGTAATTGGCACATCTGAAACATTCATCTTGTTTATCTCTTCTCCTGCCTCGTAGACGTAGATGTCACCATACACAGTTGATACAACCAGGAAGTCACCACTGATTGATATGTCTGTTATTTTAGGAAGCATCATTTCAATCCCATTTATGCTCAATAAGCTACCTTTCTCAGTGTGGGAATAATAAATGAGATTCCCATGAATTTCAAGAATGTAGTTGATTTTGCCACTAGTTTCAACCATCTCTCCATCATACGTAAATGAACTAATCATGTCCCCGTATTGGACAATATGCATGCTGTTGTCGCTTACGAAGAAGTTAGAAGCATTTGAGAGTGTCTTATGCATCCTACCATTTTTGTCTTTGAATGAAATTGCGTCATTTTTGATACAAATCTCAGCAACCTGACAATTCTTTGATCCGTTTCCTTCTGAATCAAACTCAATTGCCCTGTTCTCCAACACATTTGCGAAGCCGTAAATGTATCCTTTCTTATCCAATGCATACAAATTCGTATCCAACACCACTTTCTTGAGAGTTGCCTTTGTTTTGGTGATTTCTATAAAGACACCGTTAAATTTAACCATGTAGAAGAAGTCTGTCCCTACTGCTGCTATCAGGTATCCATCATCCACATTCGTTCCTTTTGCATTTGTCTTGGCCTGTTCTATAAGCTTCTTATCCAGCTTTTCTCTTGGACTCTCACATTTACTCTTACATGAGGATGTCTTTGCTTTGATGTCATCCAAACATATTTTGCCTATTTCTTGAATTGAAATAGACTTGATAATATCCTGGGTCTTGAAGAAGATACGCTTGTTTGTCTTGCGATCTATGGCTATTATCCCATTATCAATGCCATAATCTTCCTTGCCTCCACCACCTGCAACAAACAGGTATTTTCTTGTGACCTTTAAGTCAAATAGTGGAATGTCAAAGTCCTCCATGAAAGGGGTATAAAATAGACTTAAATATCATATTCCCCAATCATAAGCTTATTATTGGATAAGGTGAATTATTGGCTGATAGATTAGGAATTTGTGGGAAGGCAATTAAGGCAACTTGAATGCGCATATGATAAAAATTTGTGCCCTTATAAAGAATGGATCTCATGACGCTTACAGCAGGATATCGAGTCCCAATAAAAAATCCAGAAAACCAGGCTGAGATTATCAAGTGTGAAATACTACGCATCAATCAGGAACATTCACTCTACTACATTCACTTCTACAACTTAAACAGGAGATACGACAAATGGGTGCATGGATCTGAGTTTATTTTGACAGATGATGACCAAATTGATTTGCCTAAGAAAAAGAAGAAGGGCGATGAGAAGAAGCTGGCCACAGTCATCGATGAAGAGGTCAAAGTTAGGAATTTTAACGACATTGTCTTTGGAAACTACCAAATCAATACGTGGTATTTCTCACCCTATCCAAAAGACGTAATAAAAAACAGAACAGTCTTCATCTGCGAATTCTGCCTGTTCTACTTCTCAACGCAGGAGAAACTGAACCAGCATTGCTCAAAATGCACAATCAGATCACCACCAGGTCTGATGGTTTACCACGATACAGAAAATGATCTAGCATTTTTTGAAATTGATGGATACGTTCAAGTCAATTATTGTAGAAATCTGGCACTGTTAAGCAAACTGTTTCTAGATCACAAGTCGCTGATCTATGACGTAGATGCATTCTTATTCTACATCTTGTGCAAGAAAGACAACCATGGATGTCATATTGTAGGATACTTCTCAAAGGAAAAGGTTTCTGAAATGGGATACAACTTGGCATGCATTCTCACGCTTCCATCTGAACAAAGGAAAGGATACGGTAAGATTCTAATTGATTTCAGCTACATGCTCAGCAAAAAAGATGGACTAATTAGTGGACCTGAAAAGCCACTAAGTGACTTAGGTCTTCTTTCATACAGAGCGTATTGGCTTGAAATGATTCTGGAGAGTTTTAAGAGCAAGAATGAATTGATGATCAAACATTTGAGCAAGGATTCTCATATTGCAGAAGATGACATCATAGGCACCCTTCTTGCCAATAAAATGATCAAATATCATCAGGACAACCTAATTGTCACAATTGATGAAAAATGCAAGGGTAAAATGGAATCAGGCAGAAAGCACAGGGTATACGAAAAATACAATTTAGTAAATAGATATTGATCACTAATGAATATTTCTCATTGTATCTTGTATTGAATAAACCTGAAGAATTCTTGGCCACTTGTGCTATATTCATATCCGTTTCTCAGTATGTATGATCCAACATATTTCAAGTATAAATTGAATTTGTTCCGTCTCTCTTCCATTACTTTGCTGCTCTTGTTCCAGAACTTCTTGGCTGGAAATTCAGGCAAATACATGATTTCTTTCTCTAGGATTCTGTGCAGTTTACGAAACTCCCTATATCTTCTATAGATAAAGAAGCAATCATTTTTGATACTGCTGTTTTCAGCTACCACTACAATCTGGTATTCTGTGTATCTTCTTGTATTAACATACAGTGGAATGGATATTTCCACGAATGCGCCTCTTTTCGTATGCATTCAGTAAACAACCAGATAGTATTTATTTGTTTAGACTGCTAAAACAGATTCACGTAACTCTTCTACTATCTCACTTTCAACATCATACGGATCAATCTCATCAGTTTCATTCAGTTCATACTCTTCTATGAAATTATTGCTCTGATATCTAACATATTCATTCGTATATTTCTGATCAATATCAGGTTTCCTAGTTATGAATCTGTTGTACAGGTAATCAAAATAGTGTGTTGGATTTATTTTGTTGATTTTGTAGGTTGAATTTAGTCGTAGAATACCTGTTTCGTAGATTAATATTGTAACAAATACAATTATAATGAACATGCTGTATCTGATTAGACAACTTCTTCGATAACTGATTGTAGTTTTTGACATTTTAATGGGTATTAAAAATGAGTATTTTGGCCCACCCAACCAACTATTGGACTATTTTACATTTTCAGCCTAAGAGACCTGAATAATTTTCGTACTCAAATTCACCCTCAAAAATGGAAGACAGAGAAAAAATAATCAAGTTCAAGAACATCAACATCGTCGACTACCTGAACAAGACCCACAAAACAGCAGACAACTTTCTGATTGAAACACAGAAGCACAATTTGAAGAAATACATGAAGGAACTGAATACTGAACTATATAAGACATTTGTGAATAACTCAGACGACCTCCTTGACATTCTGAATGCATACGACTTCTGTTTCGATCTGTTGAGTGACTTCAGTGCTCCACGAATAAACCACGATGACGGCACAAACACTGAAATAACACAGCTAAATTGTAAGGAATTTGAAAAGAAAACGGCTAGATTTGAGGATGATCTAACAGCATTTAAGACAGAAAATAGGTATCTGGTTACCACTGAGTATTTTAATGAGAAGAAATATTACGTAATACTGACAAATGACCTGATGTTCATAGGACAGAAGATTCAGGGTGAAGATAAAAAGTATAGGCTGAAAAATGTATTCAATAGGAACATTGTGGAGATGAAGATGTTTGATAACTACATTGGAGTGACTGTAGATGGAATCAAATATACTTTCACTGGTGAAACAGATGCATTGACCGACTTCTACGACCTATTTACTGATACTACATACTTTATGCAAAAAGAGGGTGATGAAATCAACAAAGATCTTGTAAAATACTTCATAATCACTGAACAGTTTGAGAAGCTGGCTGAATACTCTGAAAAGTATCCGCATGTTGAAATCAACACCGAATCCATTGAGCCACGCAACGAAGAGGAGCTCAAACAGCTGCTTCGAATTTCACGAAACAAGAATAAGATGTTTTCTGCATTTGTAAACAGGTCATTTGAAAGTGGCCTATCCAAAATCAACAAAATTCAGGTGCTTGAGAAACTCATCGAAGAAATCTTTGAGTTCTTCTACATGTTCCTGGATGACCTCCGTCTCCTCCACAGCAACCTTGATATGGAAAACTGGACCATGAATCTACTCATTGAATCATTCATCAAGAAGATATTCAACACAATTGAAAAGAGGATCTTCAACAAGTTCCTGGAGCTAAAAATCACCAATGAAAACCTGAAATTGATCCAGTCCAAGCTTGTTTTCAAGGAGTACAATTACGTATACATGTTTGATCAACTATTAAGAAGGAAAGAGGGATTCAGTAAGAAGTGTCTGGAGATGACTAAGAATGAGATCAATGTATTGCTTGACTCATTTATGAGTAACAGTTGATAGAATAGAGCAGATAATTAATATTGTGGTTAGTTAAGATAAATAAGTTGGTTACCACGATTCTAGTTAATTCTGTGACCTTCTCTTAAGATTCCTGTTATGTTCGTAGTATTCTACGTCACTCTTAGTCATCACACCCTCATCAATCCACTTCTTTACCCTCGCCTCAATTTTGCCTATTTTTATTGGACTGTTCTTAACCAAATTCCCCAGCATCATCCCAAATGCCTTTGCTTGCTTCCTTCCCTTAATTTCATCTCGTAGCACAAAACTGAAATCAACTGTCTCATTCCTTGATATCAAGTACTTCACAATATCATAGAATATGAAACGTGGCTCAATCTTAGCCAAATTGGTCTCAAATCTACGCCAATGTTCCGTCTTATACTCCTTGTCCATGGTCATCCTCAATAACTCACTGATCACATAGTCACTTTCACCTGATTCCTCTACAATTTTCTTGATTCCATCAATATTGATGTTCGTGTACGTTTTATAGGCCAAATCCCTGAAATTACTTTCAATAAATCGCACTATCTCATCCAAGTGTGACATTTGTAAGTTGTTTTTCTCAATAAATTCACGTGCTACCTCATAAATGTTGTCTTTCTTATTGAAACTCAACGTGTAATTCTTCCCATCCAATTCCACATTGAAAGAGTGATCATATTTTCCCTCTGCTTGTCCTATCAGAATCCACTCTCCTGTCTTACTCTGCTCATAGACTGATCCAGAATGCACCTTGTACGTCTTTCCATCTGTGGTGAATACCTGATCCTTAATTGGCTCCGATTTACTCTTTTTATCGCCATTGATCTCATTATCATTCTTTTTTGATTTCTCAATCACAGGCACCTCTCCAGTCAAGCAAGACTCAATCAAATGGACACATCCATCACTGCCACCAGCATAGACAATACCATCACACTCTCTGATGCTCCAAACACTCTTACAGTCCAATTGGATCTTCTGCCTAACCTGTAGATTTCTGTTTAAAACGTACACAATTCCATTTTCACCCCCAATAAATAGGGCATCTTTGTGGTGTACCATTGTGTAACACAGTCCCTGGAGAGAACGAATATTCAGCAGTAGCCCATTCATTTTGAATTTGAACACGTTTCCGTCATTATCCAATGAGTAGATGCAATCAGATCCAATATCTGGGTCATATTCAGCCAGAATGGATCGTACTGGATAGTTATGGTAATCCAGTGACTTGAATGTGGCACCCTGCTTCTCCTCAAACCAGCTGAATACCCTGATCACGCCATCAGCACAGCCTGTCAGTATCTTACGGTGGTCTTCTTCTTCCTTCTTCTCCAGAATCCGTACAGTCCAAACTGATTCAGGATGCATAAATAGACTTATATAAACATTTGTGCTTGAAATGTACAGAATGGCATTGTTATCCCATCCACCTGAACAGAGGTATCCATCTCTATGGTCCATTGCACAGACATTCTTAGTATGCGCGTAGATGAAGAATGACTTGAATTCATCGTTCTCTTTTACGACTGCCCTGACTTCTCCATTTTGTAGTCCAACGAAAACAACTTTTTGGGGGGTGGAACAGACTGAATTTACGTGAGCTGGAACAGGAACACTTTGGAGATGATCATCGTCAACTGGTCCATCTGAGATCCAAATCGTGTTGGTTCTGCCTCCAAATACACTGCAATCAGCACTAATGGCCTTCAGGTCGCCATTCATAATTTTCGTCTTCTTCTTTAACCTATGCATCATTTTGGGGTAAAATGCATAAATTAATGCATATTCATTTACTAATCGACCATTCCATGTTTTCGCTGAGCTTCTTCTGTGAAATGGTAGTCGAAGAAGAACTCCTCTCCCTTGTAGATGTCTCTCTTGGCGTAGAATACGATCTTAGTCACGCCTCTGAGTGTCTTCACGGTCGTCCTCAAATTTGCATCATCACTACTGTGATTTATGTATCTGCTCTTGTTTCCCAAAATGAATGCATCAATCGACCACATCACGTCTGTTCCCCTGTTGGCCATGTTGAACAAATAGCTCAGGTTGTTCATCTCGTAGAAGTTTCCTCTTCTTTCTGCCTCCTTGTCACTTACTATTTCACCTGTATGTTCCATCACAAACTCATTCTTTTTTATGACATCTTCTTCACAAAATAGTCCAAATCCATGAATGGCTGAGCTATGAACCACACTTTGCTTGTGTTCAGTCGTATACGAGTTGCCACAGGCCTCAGTTCCAGAGCAGCAGCTGCAAATGGCTGGGTCACAGAATCTCTGGTTTACGGTGCATATGCAGTCTTCTCTGCATCCGCCTACGCAGTTGCAGTACTTCATGTTCTTGCAACAGGTGCAGAAGCAGCTCATCTCGCACAGAATGTCGTTTCTGGCGCAGCTGCAGTTTTTCTTCGTGCATGAACCAGCGTGTTTGCAAGGCGTAAAGAACTCCATGAACACGATTTCCTTGTACATTTTCTCATATGTTTTTATAGGCAGCTTCTTCGCCTTAATTTCATTACAGTTGATTGTAAATGGCACTAGAAGCTCAATCAGCCTCTTTGTCACACACGGCTTCAGACTCAGACACAGCAGGTGCCTGAAGACTCTGCTTCCTGAATATTCTTCAAACAGCTCAGAGACGCCCTTTGTCTCCTTCTGTCCTTCTTTGCTGTCTGCAAAGCAGATGCATCCTTCGTCCTCGTCTGGATTGAGAATGGCTCCCGTCTGAATGTGGTGGATTCCACAGTTGAAGAGGAGACACGTGTTGCAGAAGAGCCGCTTCATGTTCGATTCGTCTATTTTTGGTTTATGCAACTTCAGAAATCTATAGGCATCGTCTGATCCACCACATTCCTCTATAAATGCCCTATTTGCAACATCCTTCATGGAAAGAGGCTGCTCTCCAATCACAGTCCCATCGTACCAACTTATGTTTGTAGGCTTATTCGTTCTTATATATGGCATGAATCGCAGTATTGGATCATCCTTCGTAAACAGGTTTGTTTTAGTCGTAGTCAGGTAGTTAGTTCGAGGGTCTGGCTGAATATACGGCAAAATGGCCCTTATTCCTGGTATTTCATATTTCATCTTCTTCGTATCGCTCCGCTCTATGTTCGTCTCGTTGTCTCGGAGTATTCTTGCTACTGTTCTCGCGTATTCCAACTCCAATTTGGTGTATGCTGTTCTCAGCTCACTCGTTGGATCCATTAGCTCAAAGTTGACGGTAAAATATTGCAGTATTTTTGTATGAGATGGTTTGTGTCACATAATATTGTTCAGGCTTTGATTAACTAGCACTATCTCAAATTATTACGTATTCTACCAGAATATATTCTGTTAATTGGTGTAACTTCAATTACTTATTCCCTAGTCCAACTTCTACCATATTTAAATGCCTCAGAAAAACACAGCCAGATTCTACTCAGAAACCAATGGATTGGTCAAGGCAATCGACTTCCTGTTGATCAAACGAGGTCTATTTGAATATTTGATCAATCATTCTACAGAAGGTGGCACAACAGTAGCATACGGATTGATCAATATGCTGAGTCTCTTTTCACTCTCCAGAATACACTTTGAACTGCTCTATTTCAGTGGATTTGCATTGCACATGCCACAGCCAACTCTCATGCTACTGATCAAGGTGTATTTGATCAATTTCGCCATTTTCACAACTGCGATTCTCATTCACAACAGAAACAGTGGGAAAATCAGTCTGAATCTGTCAAGAATCATCCACGCATACGCCCTTGCCCATTGCTACGGTAGCTTCTACCTCCTATTCGTGATCTGGGAATACACTACGCTCTTCTACTTCTTTGCCTTGGACTTTCTGGTGAGCTGCTCTCTGCTTCTGGCTGCTGAAATTCTCACTGGAACCAAATCACTCGCATATTTGTTGATTCTGATGATGTCATTAGTGAAATATGCATTTCTAGTCAGAAAATATACGAGAGTGTAAATTACCTGAATGAATCCAATCACCCTGATCTATCCTAATAAATTACCTAAATGAATTCAAATCAAACAGCTTCGTCTGAATGGCCGAACCATCAGTAATGAATATTCTATCACCAACATAAACGAAATCCTGGCACCTTCCTGAATTCAGGCTGATTCTGAGAGGCTGATTATCTTCGCCTGTTTTTCTCAGATCAAAGAGATACATCTCCCCATTTGTTCCAACTGCCATCAGAAATGTTCCAACCACCTTAAACGACCTACAAAACTCGTAGAGGCTGATTCTACCAAGAAGCAGTGCTGTTTTATCCCTAAAGAAGTCGGTTGAAACATTGCTGAATAAGTCGCCTGTGTTTTCGTACTGGTTCAGGACATCGTGGCTTGGTGTCACTGCCACTGAATCATTTCCAAGAGAAATAATCAGGTCACCGTAGTAACGTACGTCTTGAACGTGTGTCTTATGGATCTCGTGGTATTCGTATTTTGGTTTATTGATGAATTCATCACCAGTCAGCTCCCATTCGCGAATTGTGCAATCAGTTCCAACTGATGTGATTTTGTGGTGATGCCTGTGGATGTCAATGGCTAGCACTACGTCACGGTGGCACAGTATTCCACCCATTGTGGTCGTACACTCCCCTGTTACTACGTCCCATACACGTATTGAGCTGTCGTAGCTTCCTGTGATCACTTTATTTCCTACTGTTTTTATGCACGTTATTGCCCCAGTGTGTCCCCTAAGAATTTGAACAATTCGCCCTGTTTTTAGGTTCAGAATTTTGACTAAACCTGATTCGCCAGCAACTGCCAGATGGATACAGCTGCTGTTTCTATCATTTTCAGTCTTCTCAGACTTATTATCACCATTAATACTGCGCCAGGATGGATGCAGCTCCAGAAAGGCAGCACATAGAAACTTCTCCTCTGTGTCTGAATCCAGGTATCTTGAGAGCTGAATGAGACTGCTGTTCAGTATCACAATGGACCTGTGTCCTACTGCTGCCATCAGATCGTACTGGTCGTGGCTAAGGAGTTTGACCAAATTCACATTTTTCAAATTCAGCACGGCCATGGGATATTTTTGTAACCACCCCATGATTTACTTCGAATACTTCAAGTCACAGATTGAGAGACAAATAGTGGTCCATCTCAAGAACAGGATGGTATTCAGGGGAATCCTGAGGAACGTAGATCCATTCCTGAACATCAAGTTGGACAGTGTCCAAATTGAATCAGATAATGAGTTCATTAGCATAAAGAATGGGATAAAGAACATAAAAATGTGTTCAATCCGTGGCTCTGCAATCAAATGCATTGAAATGGATCGAATTGGAATAGAAGAGAGACTCACTGAGGCATCCAGACTCAGATACAACATCGACAGGTAGTGTTTATTTTCTGTTTCATTTCTGCTTTTATTCTGGCTCATTCCAGTACCATGCTTCGTTCTGAAGAGATGTGTTCTATTGCACTCTATCTGAATGGAAATGGAATCAGATCAACGATGGATGACCTAGGCAGAATGGACATCATCCAGATCAAGAAGAATCCAGTTAAAAAGAGCCAGACTGAAAATGTCAGCCTGAAGAATGCTGAGAGAGTTGAGCAGCAACTCGCCTACCTCAAAATAGGCGCATTCAACGAGAAGGCGGCTGAGATGTCATTTGATCAGGCAGCAGCTGAAATCACAAAGAGCTACAAGAAAATGGTTGATCTGAGACACAACGAGAAGGATCTGAGAGCAAAGAAGGCTCATTTGGAAGAAGAGTATTTGATGGCAAAAGAGGCGTATCATTTTGTAGAGGACGTGAACAGGGGAAAGAGCATCAGGTTTGTGACATGCATTGTGGAGAGAGACAAGAAGTTTCTGATCAAAAAGGTGCTTAGAACGACGATGAAGAGGAATTGCTACGTGAAAATGGTTGATGTTGAATCAAAATACGGTACAATTCCATTGAGTGTCTTCATTGTCTATGTTTACGGGGATGATCCAGAAAGAAGAGCCAAGGAAGTTATTAGAACGATGGGTGGACGCATTCTGGAGACTGAGAAGGAGACAAGGACGCTTCATGGGATACTGGAAACCAAAAGAGCACTGAGGGAGATTGGAAGAAGTCACCGTGAAATGAAGAAGGAAATAGCGGTAAATGAGGGCTGTTTGAGGGAGAAATACAAAGGGTGGCTTCAGACTGTGAGCAAAGAAAGACGCATTTGCGAGGCCATAAACAGCCTGGAATCGAGCAAGGCTGTTTCATTTGAATCGGTTGATGACGTACGAGATGTCTACTACACTGGAGAGGCGTGGATTCGTGCAGCAGATCTTGGTCGCCTGAAAGCGGCCACCAGTCGCAGAACAAGGGGCTTCTACTGCGAGGAGATCAAAACAAGGGCGGATGAGACAGTTCCAACGCATTTCAGGCTGAATGAGTTCACCCGTGGATTCCAAAACATCACCAACGTATTTGGAATACCAAAATATCAGGAAATCAACCCAGCCATCTTCATGGTGTTCACATTCCCATTCATGTTCGGTGCCATGTTTGGAGACGTCTGTCATGGACTGATTCTCCTCTTCATCTCCTCGTACATGATCAGAAATTTCAATGCCTACGATCACAATTGTGGGGTATTTCAGATTCTGCTTGAAGGCCGCTACATCGTCCTCTGCTGCTCATTGGCCACAATTTGGTTTGGCCTCCTCTACGGTGACTTTGCTGGAACCAGCATCGCCCTCTTCAGGTCGCAATTTGAGACTGGTCGAACGTATCCATTTGGAATTGATCCAATTTGGCACCACGCTGAAAACTCAATGACATTCACTAACTCCCTCAAAATGAAAATGAGTCTCATTATTGGATTCATTCACATGTCAACTGGATCAGTGATATCACTGCTGAATGCAAGACACTTTCAGGACACCCTGACATTCTACGCAGTGGCTCTCCCCCAATTCATCGCATTTGGCCTCTTTCTTGGCTATTTGGTCTTCCTCTGCCTCTACAAGTGGCTTGTTACGGTTGATCACCCCTCTTTGGTTGAAGTACTGATTGGAATGTACACTGATCCATTCAATAATACAAATCAGATGTACAGTGGACAGCTCTACGTCCAACTGTTCATTCTGGCTGTCATTCTCCTCTGTGTCCCATGGATGTTCTTCTCTAAGCCACTCTTCTCAATTCTACGTCACCGTGTTAAGGGTGATCAAATACTTGATTTATGGATCAATAGTGGAATACACACAATTGAGTTTGGATTGGGTCTCATCAGCAACACATCAAGCTACCTGCGTCTATGGGCAGTATCACTCGCCCATGTTCAACTAACAGGAGTACTCCACCAGTTTACAATTGGAGCAGGTGGAATATTCTACAAGGTGGCAATTGCACCAGTCTACGCATTGGCCACTCTTCTGCTTCTGATTGGACTTGAGGGGCTTTCAAGCTGTCTCCACGCTCTCAGGCTGAATTGGATTGAATTCTTCAGCAAATTCTACACCGGTGGTGGTGAAAAATTTGATCCACTGGGATTCGAACTCACCTACGATGAGATCCACGATGAGTAAATGATTCCAATAGGCAGACTGATTCCTACTTCACAACCAACTCAAGCAGCTCTCTGAACAGCACTGTCTTCTCCATTTCAGCCCTGTTTCCAACCAGAATCAGTCTGCTTCTAGCACGAGTCAGGGCAACATTCAGGCGTCTGGGACAGAGCTGACAGGCATTCATCAGAATTGGATCAAAAATGATCACAATTCTATCACTCTCTGATCCCTGGAATCTGTCAATGGTGTAGACTGGAATGCGCCTATTCTTCAGAATGCGACTGATTTGGTCTACGATGCAATTGAAGTAGCATAGGACAGTGGTATCACCGTCATCGAGACCAAGCAGTGTCTCCTCAATGCTTCTTGTGGCCGTGTCTATGAATTTGACACTGCTGTTGTGGTTGCACCCTGCTACCATTCTATTCTGGTAGAATAATTGATTGCTTATTTTCATTATTTCCTCTCCCATTCTGTATTGAGTTCGTAACTCATCTGATCCATATTGGTAGTGGAGATGTTCAAAGAGACTCAGGCGGTTTCCTTTGATTGGGCTGATTTGGAGGTGATCTCCAACAATCACAAATCGATCAGAGCGTGATATTGGTATCAAATTGAGTAGTAGACTGATTTGAGATCCCTCATCCGTGATACAGAAGTCAAATCGCCTATTAACGAAGACTGCGTCTCCAAGAGAGTAGCAGGTGCCAGCTATGACCTCAAATGAGTCGAAATGTGCTCTGATTCCAGCAACAGTCATCTTATCAAGGGCAGAGGAGCCATTGGCCTTGAACCAGCGAACGTCATTCAACTTTCCAAGCAGGTTGTTGATTGCCAGATGTGTGTAGCAGACAAGAAGCACCTTCTTGTTGTAGAAGACGAGTATTTTGATCAGTAGAGCAATCAGAGTGGATTTGCCAGTCCCAGGCATCCCGTGTATCAGTGAGAAATCAGTACAGTTCAATGCATTGATTAATGCATGTTGTTGATACTTGTTGAGACGAAAGAATTCCGCCTTGAACATGTCTGGGATTGGAATTGTCGTCGATTTGGCTGTTTTGGGCGGAATAGTCATCGTTTGATTCACTGCTTTGAGTGTGAATTCACTTGTGCAAATTGGATTCATTTGTGGTGTCTGAGAAAGCACCGTGTTTTGAATTCGCCTTCTTTTATTTTCTTCATCAAATAATTCGTCTTCTTCCTGGCCAGGCATTCTGAATCTGTTGGCACATTCCTGCTGTTTTGTACCAAAATAGCTGAAGTATGCAATATTCAGCAACGAGTACTTGCAGAACCTGTAGAATAAGTCGTCTACTTCATATGTGAAGTAGTATGCATCACTAAAGTCAATCTTAGTTTGTACGTCACAAACCAATTCGTTCTCATTGAATAAGCTTACACTGCCCTTGCAAATGAATTTGAGTCTTTTTGTGTAGAATGCAATTGGATCCTTCTTTTTCAGGCTGTTTTTGATTCCATCACTGCACTTGAATGATATGGTGGAATTGAGTGCCTTCTTTTCGCTTATTTTGATCAGATTCAGGTTACTGCTCTCTTTTTCCAATTCTTCAAGTGTCATTCTGAGCCAGTGGCTCTTATCCAGCCTCATTATGCTATTGTACAGTGCGCATGTCTCTGTTTCATTACAGGTGCATGCTATGATTCCCTTGGTTGTGGCAACTCTGTTTCTTCTGATTACCAATTCCCTTACTTCAGCATGAATGAGCTGTATAACTGGTGTTTGATAGAGTTGAGTGTAGAAGATCATTGGAATTCTGGTTGTTTTGAGTGGATGCTTCTCTTTCTGTTCTTTATTCTCTTCATGAGCAAGCATCAGTGTATAGAATATCACTTGTGCCCTATGGGATACGTGAGTGTATTTTCCAGTCTTCAATTCTACCACATATTTGCTATTGAAGAAGTCGATATTGCCTCTGAGCCCAAACAGGTTAGAAAAGAGCCAATGTTCAATCTTATCACATGATCCAATCTTGTTCACAAATCCAATTGAATTCTGAATCTGCTTCATGGCCTCGTTCTTCAACTGTGTCTCTGTGATGTTGCATCTGTAGAGACGTATCGCATTCTCCCTACAAAAAGAATTTAGAACTTCATTGATGAACTTGGTATCTACTCGTTTCTCAACCAACATTCTTTGAATGGCCTCGTGTATTGATAATCCAATCACTATCATGCTATGTTGGTATTCAAATTCAAATTCGTGTACTTTCACTTTGGTTTTTGGTCTGTTTATGCACTCAAATGAACTAATGAAATTGGAGATCGTAAGGACGTCATCCTCAACAAATAGCAGGTTCTGGTTGTTATCCACTCTATAAAGAGGCTGTTTATGGCTGCAACAGCCACAATGAAGAATAGTCACCTTCATTCCAATTTCATAGTCAATAATGTTCCAGTTACCTGATACGTGCACTTTTGAGCCATCTCCTTCAAGCACCACATCATTTGCTACTCTTCTGATCCTTGAAATAACAAATGAACCCCTAGATATGTTTGAATTGGCCAGTTTGTTATTTGAGTTGAGTTCATGTTCTAATTTGGCTGGGTCAATTTGGGATGTGAACAAGTTGCAGCCTTCCATCGATGAAAAGTATAATGCACTCGGTTCTGACGCATTGAAATTATCAATTACACTGTCAAACGTGTCTTTGTCTTCTTCTTTGCTCTCAAAACATGATGAATTGAGCTCAACTCCTTCAAAATCGTCTAGAATCGTAATATCTGAGATTTCATCTAATGAGTTCACTGTCTGATGTCTTTTTGAGGTGTTGTGCATGTTTTCGTCCGTAACTATATCACATTCGCTGAATTCTGTCTCCTCCCATACAATTTTGGGTTTATCTACCATTTTGGGGCAGTATTTGCAAAAATTGACCGCGACCGGGATCGAACCGATGACCATTTGGTTTGGAATCAAATGCGCTACCACTGCGCCACACGGCCTAATTATTTCCAAAACCGCCTATACAACGCGGGAATTGTTTATTTTGATGGTGAAAACAAATTTGAAGGTGATTTTCAGAAAACAAAACTTTCTGAAACTTGTGCCGTGTTATGCACCCTAAAATGACAACAGAAAAAATCAGCGAAAATGAGGATATAGAGGAGTGTATAATAGAACAGGTAGAACAGGATATCAAAAAGGCAGAGAATATTGTAACTGGCTGCTGTGAACAAGTCTTCGATGAAGAAAAGGTAGAGAATGAGAGAATAAAGGGCATTGATTTTGAAGATGAGAATAAAAAGCAGCAAGAAGTCTGTGAAGCAAAGAAGAAGACAACAAATCTGATTGCAAAAATCATGAAGTTATCAGGATGCAACAAGGAGATTGCAGAAAAAAGTATCAAGGAATCTAAGAATAACACAAATAATGCAATTGATATTGCAAAAAGGCATTATAGGGAGACACTTCCAACCATCTTCCACTACAAAAATGGTCTAGAAGTCAAATACGGTGGAAAAGAGTCATTTTACGATTTCAAGACTGATTTAGGTAAGAGGCTGGTTGAGATGATTGGGCGTGGTGAGTTTGATCGGAAGCTGCTTGGAATGACGGCTGACTTCGTGGATGTGATCTACGTTGATTTGAAGAAGGAAAAGAAACTTCAGTTTAAGACGTACGATAATAGGCCAATGAATCAAAGGAAGGATAACAGTGATATAAAACTCATAAAACAGTATGAAAATGTGCTACCAAATACCTTGCAATTTGACGAATTGTACGACACACAGTTCAAACTGTGCTATAAGAAGAGCACTGCTATTTGTAAGTTGGCTTCTGATACAAAATTGAGACGAGTTTACAACCATTTGCGTGAATTCTTCAAGAAGGACGTTCTGCTGGTTGTGAATGGTGAAGAAGTGGGCGAGTTACAGACTGGAGAGGAGATTAACAAGAAGTTTGTTGTGTTATACGTTAAACAATAAACAATATTGTGTTTTTCTTTATTTTTCAGGTGTTTCTGGCATTAGGCATTCTTCCTTGCTGAGCAAATTGATGGTGTTGTATTCTGTGTCTATGGCATTCAAATTATCCAAAACACCACCGTATTCATCACACATCTTCTCCCAGTTCAATTTGTAGTATTTTGCTACTCCAAAAAGAACTACATCTTGTATACTACTGTAATTGGTGCAAAGTGCCTTATCAATCATTTTCTCAACCGTCTCAAAATCACCCGTCTTGATTTCTATCAGGTTACTCTCACTAAGTCGCACCATCAGGCCATACGCCTTCACATATACGTTCTCGAAGACAAAATTGTAATCTAGTTTCCCAGCCAACAATACCTCCTTCTCAAACAGTTCCTTCCTGTTCATTTTTGAGACAAAGAAGATCTCAAGCTTGTCTAACATGCTATCCTGAATTTCTTCTATTTTTATGCCAAGAAAGAGAGCCAAATAGACCATGTGCACTTCGTCTAGTGCGATCTCCTTCTGTATAAATCTATGTAATTGCATTACTGTGCTTTTTACGTTAAGTGGGAATCTATATGCCCTACAAAATGCGATGATCAATGATTCGCTTTGAAATTTCTTCATTTTAGGACCTAAAATATTCGATTTTAAGGAGTAAATTTGTAAAAGAAGAAAAGGAGAGATATGTTTGGAATTGGAGAGAAAAAGAAGAACCAAACTAAGGAAGAGAAGGCAGAAGAAGCAAAACAGGCTAGGCTAGAGCAGCAGAGAAAGAGAGAGGAGGAAGAAAGAAGGAAAGAAGCTGAAAAAATAGCAAGGCAAAAAGAGAAAGAAGCTGAACGTGAGCGAATCAGGAAGGAAGAGGAGAGAAAGAAGGAGGAGCAAAAGGCAGAGGAGCAGAAACGAAGAGATGCAGAAGCAGCTGAGATGGAACAAGCATTCAGAAACCTTGAAGCCAAATTGGATCAGCTTTCAAGGACCCTGAAAAATATTACTGAAATTCAAAAGAAAATTAAGACAAAATCAAAGACTGAAATTGAAGTAGATGGAGAGGTGTATAGGATATCAGAAGAGAATAGAAAGAGGCTGGTTAAGAAATTGAAGAGGGAGACAACAATAGACATGCTGTTTGAACAACTCAAGAAGTACAATGGAAAAGAATTTAACTTGTTAGTTTCTTGTGGTGAAATTGCAACTTATTTTGAGAGCCGCAAGTTCAGAAGTCTTGATTCAACCAAATGGAGACTGTTTTATCCAATTGTATATGATGATTTGAACAAAATGAACGAGTACAAAAGGATTTGGTCCAATTTGTATTGTACCAGAGCAAAAAGAGTCCTATTTGAAGATGGGAAGTACAAGTTTCTTAGGAGTTTGGAAGTCATAGATAAGGCAATTATTGGAAGTGATATTGAAATAGCAAATGATAGCCATCTGGTGATCGTAAAAGGAAGTACCATAACACTTACGACGGCATTCTTTAGGAAATACGTCAAAGAAACTACGGTTATTCCAGTAGAAGGAAAGAACGTTTGTTCAATAAGTGGATCAACACAACTTCAGGTTAAAACAAAGTTGGATCCAACATTTTGGCAGACAATTACAGCCAAATTGTCAATGGGATAAGTTAGTTAGCAACTTTATTCACTTGAGGAGTTTTCTCATTGTTTCGTCCATCTTGCTCTTCTTCATGACCTTGCTCACAGCCAACTCGAAGTCCTCTTGGGTTACGTGAACCCTGTTCTCTCTCAACGCGTACATTCCTGCTTCAGTGCAAACTGCTTTTGCTTCTGCACCAGAGGCCCCAACAAGTTTCTCTGCCAAAGTGCTCAAATCAAGTCCCTTACTCAAATTCATTTTTCTGCTATGAATTTTGAGTATCTCAACACGTGCTTCTGCCTTTGGATTTGGAAACTCAATCTTTTTATCAATTCGTCCTGTTCTAAGTAATGCTGGATCAAGAATATCAATTCTGTTTGTAGCCATGATCACCTTAATATTTTTCTCTGATTCAAATCCATCCAACTGATTCAATAGCTCCATCATCGTACGTTGAACTTCGCTATCACTTCCTTTTGATCCATCTGTTCTTGCTGATCCGATTGAATCAATTTCATCAATGAAGATGATAGATGGAGCATGCTCGCGTGCCATCACGAATAGTTCTCTTACTAGTCTGCTTCCTTCTCCAATGTATTTCTGAACTAGTTCTGAGCCAGAAACACGAATGAATTTGCATTTAGTGTGGTGTGCAACTGCCCTAGCCAAAAGGGTCTTTCCTGTTCCAGGTGGACCATAAAGCAAAACACCCTTAGGCTGTGAAATACCAAGATTTTCAAAGAGTTCTGGGTGCTTAATTGGTAACTCAACAGTCTCCCTAATCTCTTTGATCTGTTCATCCAATCCCCCAATCATTGAATACGTTGAGTCTGGAACCTTCTCAACCATCATAAGCGAAACAAGTGGATCCACTTTTGTAGGTAGAATTCGGTGAATGCTGAAATTGTCTGCTCTCAAGGCAACACGTGTATTTGGTTTTAGTGCATTGTAGTCCACATGTGACTCAACCTTAACTACGTATTTTCCATCTGGGTGCATTTTAATCATACACTTCTTCTCTCCCATTTTGTTGCAGACTACGCCTACATTTGAACTATTTTCACTTATTACGATTATCTCTTCCCTAATTTCTCTAACTTGCTTTGTGAGGGCATCTCTCTGTTGTTCAAGCTTCTTGATGCGCTCTTCTGTAGCTGATACCTGTATTCTAGCCAATGCACCTTTGTTTCTGTAGAACGTATCAAAGAGTGTTTTCTTAAGTTCCATTGGGGTTTAGAAGAAAACAAATCTACGCCCATGAAGTTTTTCAATCCAAGTGACATTTTTGATAACATCATCCAAACGGTGCAACAGATGCCAGTAGAGGCATTCTACTTCAGAAGACAGATCAGAAGAGTAGATAATTATACAGAAAAGTATAGGAAGAAGCTTAAGAAGGCAGTAAAGAGGTTGCCAAATAAAAATGAGGAAAAAATAAATAGAATAGAAAGGAAATTGACACAGGCATTTTCAAAGAAGAGGGAATTAATAGAGAGATTTAGAGAAGCAATAAAAAGTCACATGGTATTCTTTAGGAAACTAAATGAGCTGACGAACAATACGATAAACGTAGGAGAAATGGCTTTGAAGGTGAATTGTGCAAATGTGGTGAAAGTGAGTAGTCAAACTGATGATGATGGAATTTATTGTTCGTGTAAATCAAAAGCACAAGGAAATATGATAATGTGTGCGAATCCATATTGTGAAATACGTTGGTATCATTTTAAATGTGTAGGAATTCTAAAAGCATCTAAAACACAATGGAAATGTTCAAGATGTGTTGCAGAATCAGGTTAAAACAATAAAATATATAGAAAGCAACCATTCTTTACACCACAATAAGGATCAAAAATAAATTTTTATTAGTAAACATCATATAGTAATATATTATTCTACAATTACAATTATATGTTCATATTCTACTTATATTTATAGATATACCTAATTCATATCATATAATATTACATTAATAATATCTTATATTTTTATTCATTTCATGCTATCGTAAATTTCCATTTTTTAACTATTATTTGAGGGGGTAATCCTTGTTATTATAACGGCATAGTAAGCCAGAAAAAGACATTAGGGTATTGTGTATATAGCTTTGTAATAAGTATTTTTAGGAATATTTAGTTAAAATATGAGTTCTTCTAAGAACAAGTATAAAAGCAATAGTATGGGATAAAATAAGAAATTATTATAAAAATCATTAGGTTGACTCTGCCTAACGTAGATGCTAGTCTTTAAGATTAAGCCATGCATGCTAAGTGAACCTGTACGGGGGAACGGCGAACGGCTCAGTAANTAAATTTCCATTTTTTAACTATTATTTGAGGGGGTAATCCTTGTTATTATAACGGCATAGTAAGCCAGAAAAAGACATTAGGGTATTGTGTATATAGCTTTGTAATAAGTATTTTTAGGAATATTTAGTTAAAATATGAGTTCTTCTAAGAACAAGTATAAAAGCAATAGTATGGGATAAAATAAGAAATTATTATAAAAATCATTAGGTTGACTCTGCCTAACGTAGATGCTAGTCTTTAAGATTAAGCCATGCATGCTAAGTGAACCTGTACGGGGGAACGGCGAACGGCTCAGTAATGTTGCGGTGATTTGCTCTATATGATAAGAATAACCACGGTAACCTGTGGCTAAAAGTGTAGAATAAGGCGCAATCCTATCAGTTTGTTGGTAGTGTAAAGGACTACCAAGACTACGACGGGTGACGGGAAATCAGGGTTTGATTCCGGAGAGGGAGCCTGAGAGATGGCTCCCACGTCCAAGGACGGCAGCAGGCGCGAAACTTATCCACTCTTCTGAGAGGAGATAGTTATGAGACGTGATTTAAGGGTTGAGTGTAAAGAACTCGACGTGAAGCAATTGGAGGGCAAGTTTTGGTGCCAGCAGCCGCGGTAATACCAACTCCAAGAGTGTCTATGGTGGGTGCTGCAGTTAAAGGGTCCGTAGTCGTAGATGCAATTAAAGGGTGGTGCTCAAGACCATTAAGTTTGTTGTTTTTAGCGGAACGGATAGGGAGCGTGGTATAGGCGGGCCAAGAATGAAATCTCAAGACCCCGCCTGGACCAACTGAGGCGAAAGCGACGCTCTTAGACGTATCTAAGGATCAAGGACGAAGGCTAGATTATCGAAAGTGATTAGACACCGCTGTAGTTCTAGCAGTAAACGATGCCGACAGCTCCTGCTGCGAAAGTGGTGGGAGCAAGAGAAATCATAGTTTTCGGGCTCTGGGGATAGTACACTCGCAAGAGTGAAACTTAAAGCGAGATTGACGGAAGAACACTACCAGGAGTGGATTGTGCTGCTTAATTTAACTCAACGCGAGAAAACTTACCAGGGTCGAGTCAGTTGTAGATCGCTAGCGTGAAACTGACGAGAGTGGTGCATGGCCATTGGAAATTGATGGGGCGACTTTTAGCTTAAATGCTGTAACCAGTGAGATCTTCTAGACAGGTGCCTGATGGCACAGGAGGGAGAAGGCTATAATAGGTCCGTGATGCCCTCAGATATCCTGGGCTGCAAGCGCAATACAATATCCATATACTATATAAAGAAGTCTTGGATGAGGAGGATTAGCTCTTGTAAATGAGCTATGAATGAGGAATTCCTATTAACAGTGTCTCATTAAGACACGGTGAATGTGTCCCTGTTCTTTGTACACACCGCCCGTCACTATTTCAGATGGCCATGCAGATGAAGAGCTTAGGTTCTGAATATTCATGGCTAGATAAAGTACAAGTCGTAACAAGGTTGCGGTAGGAGAACCTGCCGCAGGATCATTAACAAAACCTTTTTTTAGAAAATATAGTTTATAAAATATATAGATATTTTTAATGAGCTGACAGATGTGGCCTGGCCTCCCCGGTGAGCTCGCATGGGAATTGAACCCCAGCGAGCTCGATTATGGGGAGGTTGCCCTAGTACCCAACTACAAGGTACTAACTCAATGAGCTAAAGCCCCCATACATCTTGGGAGGTTTTAGTTATATGTTGAGAAGTGGCGTAAAACCGTAGATAGAGGGATAAGTAATAGATGTGTCGAAAAGGATTGATGGCCCATGTACGGTGGGGGTTGTAGCATCCAGCCCTCGGTGAGTTTAAGAGGGAACTCCTCACTGCATCTATGAAAATCCCTCGGGCCGATGCCACGGTAGGTATACCTTGCTACAAAATGGCACGGGTTACCCCTAACCCGTGAGGACCTAGCCTCTAAAAAAGGGTGTAACTGAGGTTCGAACTCAGGAGGCTTAAAGAATCACCTGACGCATTGGGGATCTAGGTTATTGCGTAGAGCCAAAAGGTCTTAAAGTGGTGCAGCTAAGAGACTTGTCTGTATACTATCTCCTCCAGATAGTTACTTAGGGAACAGACAAACCATGCACCCAGTAAGATTTGGTATCTCTTACTGTATAAAGTACCCGGTACGGTAGGCTAACTCCCTCCGTACTGTATAATTTAGTTTTCAAAAGGAGAAAGTACTGTAATGTACAGCCAACCTTGAGTAGAGGAGATCTATCCGCCTCTACGTCCTGGTGGGTTGGTGAAAGAAGCGACTTTAAAATCCAGAGAGTTAAAAAGGATGAAATCGGTAGGGCAATGATCAAGACGTTGATCACTACTGATCAAAGAAACGTCAACCCGGTAGACCCATGTAAGAAGCGAAAACTGACCTCCAAGGGCAAGGAGGTTGATCCCAATGGTTTAGCTACATCTCTACCGGTACAAGGGACCGACCTTGTAAAATCAGGTACGGATTGGGATCCTAGTGGTAAGGTACTGATGTGGAATGTGGATGAGTTAAGTACTAAGACACTTATGTGTCTGGTGGAAAGGACACTGAAGCTTCCACATCGGAGCCTGAAAGGTAGACGTATAGTCCAACGTGACGGAACGGTAAGACACGACCTAACTCCAACCGGGGGAAGGATGATCTCAAAGGATCAATGGACACTAGCTGCGAAAGCAGTTAGGGGATATGTCCGGCAAGAGAAACCCAAGGCAGTTAGGCAAAAAGTCCATTACTCTCATAAGAGTAGTGGATCCCGGAGTGAGTGGGATGGACAGTTATCTGTATTGTCCTACAATATCAATGGGTTCTGGAATAAAAGGAATGAGCTTAATTTGCTTCTTGAAGAAAGGAAACCTTTATTGGTTGCTCTTCAAGAGACTCGAAGACTTGGTGGAGCCAGGTCAAGAGTTTTTGGGTACCAGTGTATTGAGTCATGGGGAATCCATAGGGCTGGTACTGTTGGAAATCTCTTGGGTGTTAGACGACGAAGCGGTCTCACATTAAGTGAGTACGAGGTAACTCCTTGGTACGCAGCAGCTCGTCCAGATGGGACAAACTCCGAAGGGGATCGAGTAGCTATACTTGCCTATTCCGTATATATCCCATGTAAGGGAACGGAAGATAGGAAGAAAGCGAAAGATTATCTCAAGGCGTCACTAGATAAAGTGGCGTCAGAGAAGAAATTCTCAGAGGTAGTGCTTATGGGAGACCTGAATAGCACACCCAAGGAAGTAGATACCTTACTCAAGTCTACCAACCTGAGCCTGAATAGGATACGTAGTGAGCAGCATACGTTTAGGAGAGGTACTAAGACCTCTATCCTAGACTATGTCTGTCTTACAAGCCCGAGGAACGTTAAAATTAGGGCGGTATATGACTGGGATCTCTCAGATCATTATCCATTGTTGGTACGATGGGAGATGGAAACTCCTTGGAAAGTTGATGAGAAACTATCAATAGATAGAGATAAACTCACATTGGAAAAGGAGAGAGTAGTAGCTTGTAAAAGCTGGAAACTACAAAACGATCTCCCTACTCAAGATCTAGTGCAATCTTTCATAAGTAACGCACATAAGATCTTCGAGGATCAGGGTATTAGTAAGAAACGAGGGGAAGTAAGTTGGAGAAAGTTCTATCGTAGAGGTACTCTCTCTGCGATAAGGGCTAGAAGGGAGTATGCAAAACTCAAAGGGTCGAGTAGGTTTGATGAACAAAGATATCTGGATCTTAAAGCAAACTCGAAAGACCTGAGACTACGAGATGAGGTATACGTCCACGAGAAGAAGCTTGAGGATCTGTGTTCTTATGCCAGATCCAATGACGGAAGAAAGCTTTGGATGAACCTTAAGAGTATGTTGAAAGGGGTAGCTGGGGCAGAAGCAGGCGCCCTGATGGATAAGGTAAATAACAGGATCGTTTATGCGACTTCTGAGAAGCAAGTAGTATGGTCTACCCATTTTGGAAACCTGGCTGTCGATGAGACAGGTAATAGCAGGTGCTACGATAAATGGAAGATCATACTACCTTGTGAAGAGGATAGGCCGGTGCATCAGGGTTGTAATGAACAACTCGAATGGAGTGATGTAGTTACAGCTCTGAAGCAATTACCAAGGAACAAAGCATGTGGTATGGATGGAATACCTGGAGAACTCTTCAAACTGGTAGAGAACGAAATTAATCCAGAGACCAGGTTGGCCAAAGCTATTTGGGACATAGTTAATACTATGTGGATAAGAGCTGAGGTACCAGAGTGTCTGACAGCAGCAGCTGTGGTACCTATTCCAAAGAAAGGTGACCTGAGTGATCCGGATAATTATAGAGGTATCTCTCTCATACCGGTGATACTCAAGTTGGTGAGTAAGATTGCTACGAACCGACTGACAGCTATTGTAGAAACCAATAACCTGATCCGTAAGGAACAGGCAGGTTTCAGGTCAAGAGAAGAGTGTGTGGGTCAAGCCACTGCGATGTATGAAGCTGTAGGCCGAAGGGCAGCCGACGGGAAAACTACGTATGCTCTCTTCATCGATTTCTCCAAGGCATATGACAGAGTACCACATGCAGGATTATTGAGGAAGATAGAATCCATGGGAATTGGAGGACATCTCCTCAAGGTAATTAAGGCCTTGTATGACAAACCTAAGTTATGTGTGCGAGTATCAGGTTCATACTCTGGTATGGTAGCATACGACAAGGGTGTTAGACAAGGTTGCCCGGCATCACCTATCTTATTTGACCTATACATCAACGACTTACTCGATAAAGGTAAAGGAATCATAGTACCAGGTGTTCAGGAGCGTCTGAAAGGACTACTGTTCGCTGATGACGCAGTGATATTCGCGGAGTCTGCCAGTCAGTTGCAAGAAGCACCTGACCGAGTAGAAGAGTGGGCTCAGAAGTGGGAAATGAGGCTTAACATTGAAAAGTGTGGAGTACTCACATTCCCACCAAGAGATAGTGCNGGTTCATACTCTGGTATGGTAGCATACGACAAGGGTGTTAGACAAGGTTGCCCGGCATCACCTATCTTATTTGACCTATACATCAACGACTTACTCGATAAAGGTAAAGGAATCATAGTACCAGGTGTTCAGGAGCGTCTGAAAGGACTACTGTTCGCTGATGACGCAGTGATATTCGCGGAGTCTGCCAGTCAGTTGCAAGAAGCACCTGACCGAGTAGAAGAGTGGGCTCAGAAGTGGGAAATGAGGCTTAACATTGAAAAGTGTGGAGTACTCACATTCCCACCAAGAGATAGTGCTACTAATAGTGAGCCAGTGATAGAGGAAACCCAGATCATCCTCCATCAAGAGACTGTGCCAATAGTAGATCACTATACATACTTAGGTGTGAAGATCACCAAAACCTTAACTCCAATGGACATGTCTCATCACAATATAGGTAAGGGTATTAAGACTATTGAGGGTCTGAAACCTATATTGTGTGGGACAAGAGTACCCACGTACTTCAAACTGAAACTGATTCACGCACGGTTGATGCCTGTATTATTGTACGGTGCGGAACTGTGGGGTATGAATACCAACAATTGTAGGAAGCTACAACAAACCTTAGTAGGGGCACTCAGGATGGCGATGCGAGTAGGGAGGAATGTCAGNGTGCCAATAGTAGATCACTATACATACTTAGGTGTGAAGATCACCAAAACCTTAACTCCAATGGACATGTCTCATCACAATATAGGTAAGGGTATTAAGACTATTGAGGGTCTGAAACCTATATTGTGTGGGACAAGAGTACCCACGTACTTCAAACTGAAACTGATTCACGCACGGTTGATGCCTGTATTATTGTACGGTGCGGAACTGTGGGGTATGAATACCAACAATTGTAGGAAGCTACAACAAACCTTAGTAGGGGCACTCAGGATGGCGATGCGAGTAGGGAGGAATGTCAGTGTAGGCAGGCTGCTTGCGGAAACAGGGACAGCACTCGTAGCTGAGTCTGCGGCCAAGAGACGACACAGGGCTACCCGAAAGTTCCCTACCCTCAAGACCTGGATTGCGATCCTTTTGAAGAATCCCTACCACGGGAGGAAGAGGGTCTGGTCTACCAACTCCCAACAATGGACTAAACACTACCTGAAGGAATGTCTAACGGAAAACAGTAAGAGACTCGAAGAGCTCTATGCTGGGCGTCAGTTGAAGGCGGATAAAACTTTAGCCACTCAGTGGGCCAAGGACCTGAAACTGGATACTGAGCCTCCGGTCTGGATACAGTTAGGTCTTGAGCAACCTAAACTGGCCAGAGCACTTAGTGAGGTAGGCCGTATTCGCCTAGGGGTATTCCCTATAGGTAAGAGACTGGTTTACTGCAAAGTGTTAGACAGAAAATACCTTGCCAGATGTCCTGCTTGTGAGCAGGATGAACCTGAGACAATTGAGCATCTATTACTCACATGCCCAAGGTGGGATGATGCTCGAACCCGATACCTATTACCCAGTCTTGGGGAAGTAGGTATCAACTCCACTGCCCGTGAGGCAACGATAAGTATACTCCTGGGAGGGGAGTTGGTTGACGAAGTGTCGGCAGAAGAGCTAGCTCCTAAAAGAGCGAAACTCTTACTGTCGGCCGACAAGAAACGGGACTTTGTAGTTAATACTGCAAGGTTCCTTAAGGTCGCGTTACCAAAACGCCAGGGCCTGATAGCTCCCAAGCTTGTCAGGTCCTCCATCAACCTCCTTGACGCAAGGCCAGAAAGGTATGCGAGCTCTAGGCGGGCAGGAGTCGGTAGGGGAGAGTTTTAGTGAGTAAGAGTCTCACATAACCACTACCCAAGTGGTATCCATGAGGATTTCTCGAAACGATAGAAATCAGACTGATCAAAAAAACCTTCATAATATACAATAAAGATTATATGTTATTAGTATGTTAATATCAACATACCTACACTATCGTCCTTATGTAAAAGTATTTTATTAGATATATAGATTTTTATTGAATTAATGCTACCCCCAATTACTATTTTTTGACTACTATTTGAGAGGAGTAATGTCCTTTTAAAAGTAAGAAAAAATAGTTATATCCTAGGTACGGGATCAATTGGGTCTACAAGCGAGGACGAACGTGAAAGAATACGAGATTGTCTTTTAGACTGTTCTAATTGCAGGAATTCTTTTGCGGATACTCCCTGAACTTAAGCATATCAGTAAGGGAAGGAAAAGAAACCAACTGGGATTCTGATAGTAGCGGCGAGCGAACACAGAGAAGCCCTAATGGTAAGGCTCCTTTAAGGGGCCGTTGTAATAGCAAGCGGATAAATGATCTGGAAAGATTAGCCAAAGCGGGTGATAGCCCCGGACCGTGGCGCAAAGGGTAGAGTAGTGCTGTTTGGTAATACAGTGTGAAAGGGAGGTAGTAACTTCCAAGGCTAAATATAAGTAGACACCGATAGAGTAGAAGTAGCGCGAGCGAAATGTGAAAAAATCTCTTTTAGAGAGTGAAATAGTGAAAGTACCTAGGCGTAAGCCGAGAAATTCGGACCCGTATTGAAACACGGACCAAGGAGACTTTGACTGGAGCGAGGTGAAGGGCGATAAACCCTGAGCCGAGATAAATTAATTAGTTGCAGTCATAGGACCCGAAAGGTGGTGAACTATGCCTGCCGTGATTGAAGTCAGGATAAATTCTGATGGAGGATCTAAGCCGTATTGATGTTCAACTCATTGGCAGGAGGTGGGCATAGGGGCGAAAGACCAATCGAACCACCTGGTAGCTGGTTCTAGCCGAAATGTCTCGTAGGACAGCGGTGCCGAAGTGCAGGAGGATGTCGTAGAGAGGATGTAGGTGTAACCAACAAACTCCGAAGGCGTCTGTTGTGTCGCGAGTGATCCGACACAACGATCTGAGAGGCACCAGTGGGCGCCTTGTGGTAAGCAGGAGGCGCAAGATGGGATGAACCATGAGGGGAGATAAGCTGCCAAAAGCAGAACAGAGAGCCCATAAAGGTGGTAGCCAAATTAAGACAGTGGGGCGGTGGCCATGGAAGTCGGCATCCGCTAAGAAACGTGTTACAACGTACCCATCGAATTTGGGACTACCGAAAATGGATGGCGCTAATCTGCGGAGCGATGCTCCTAAGGGGAACCCTAGTAGGCTAGCGCGAGGATGACAGTGAAGGCTATGCGTGAGCGTTGTTGGAGTCATTCTCGGTGCAGATCTTGGAGGTAGTAGCATCACAGATGTGTGCCTGTGGAGGCGGGTTTGTCCTTTGGATCGAAGGAAGTGATACGGCCCTATTAAAAGGGAAGCACATAGATATTTGTGCGAATCTGCCCTAAGTGGTGACACGATTATGACTCTGCCGTAGTTGAGAATGGTGTTAATTTGCCATTCTCACTATACTCTAGAATGTCATATTAAGATGGAGTATTAGGCAGGCGTTGAAAAGGATGGGCAGTTGCCGTACCGAACCGCATCAGGACTCCGAGGGTTAGAAGCCCAAGGCATAAGTCAAAGTAGGTAAGGGAAGTCGGCAAAATAGATGAGTAACCTCGGGAGAATTATTGGCTCTGGCGTGCCAGAACTGGGCTAACAAGGGGAATCTGACTGTTTAATAAAAACATAGCTTTGTGTCGATGCAAAGTGAATTCTGCCCAGTGCTTGGGACGTTAAGGAAGTTATTTTAAGTACGCACTTGTAAACGGCGGGAGTAACTATGACTCTCTTAAGGTAGCCAAATGCCTCGTCGTCTAATTAGCGACGCGCATGAATGGAGCAACGAGATTCCCACTGTCCCTACCTACTGCTTTGCGAACCAACAGCCAAGGGAACGGGCTTGGGATATGCAGCGGGGAAAGAAGACCCTGTTGAGCTTGACTCTAGTCAAGTACAGCCCTCTATTTGCTTGTCGTAGCGAGGTGGGTTATTGTGTGAGACCACTGACATCCGTAATGGAGGTGCTTCTAAAACTTGATGGGGAGTTTGACTGGGGCGGTACGACTGCTAAACTATAACGCAGACGTCCAAAGGTAAGCTCAGGGAGGATGGAAACCCCCCAGAGAGCACAAGGGCAAATGCTTGCTTTAGCTTGCTGCATGCGCAGCAAGTACTGGAAACAGCGGCCTAGAGATCCTCCACCATCACTAGGGGTGGAGGTGACGGAAAAGTTACCACAGGGATAACTGGCTTGTGGCGGCCGAGCGTCCGCAGCGACGCCGCTTTTTGATTCTTCGATGTCGGTTCTTCCGAGTATGGTGATGCATCGCTCACCAAGTATATGATTGTTCACCAACTAACAGGGAACGTGAACTGGGTTTAGACCGTCGCGAGACAGGTTAGTTTTACCCTACTGCGATGTATTGAAGAGTAGATCAGAACAGTACGAGAGGAAGCACCGATCAGGACCACTGGTACCGCCCTCGTCTGTTAAGGCGCGGGGCACAGCTACGTCCTTCTTGTAACAGCTGAAAGCCTCTAAGCTGGAATAAGTACTTAACAATACCAATGTGTGAAGACGACTCACGCGGGGACGGGGGCTGTACGGCATGAGCTTATTGCGAGTGCTTCAGGCCGCCCGATCCTCAACTTTTTTATTTATTTGGGTTTATATGATAATATAAGAAATTATTTAGCTGTTCTCTTGCTCCTATAAATTCGTTCTCGCTAATTTCACTTAAATATAGTAGTGTGAAAT